CAACTCCCTTTTTAAACACACACACACACATACATACACAAACACATTTTCTGTCTAATCCGTATAATGAAGCGGAAAACATTGACATTTACGGTTGAAAACAAAACTTTACGACAAAAGAGATGATTTCAGCTTCCCAATTGTGAACTTTCCATTTCTATGTAGCAACATTCCAGCAGCGCCTGCATACGGAGTATAGATCTCCCAGTTGATACGATATTCCAGGGTTTGTATTTCCTATCATGATTTCCTTGATAGAGGTTTACTGCTCACAAGGAATCTATCAAACCAAGAGTTCCAAATGGTGAAGTTGAAATCGTCCCTTCGTAAATTTTACGGACCCTTTCCCCCCGAATGTGACCTACCGAATTAGACTTATCACCGGGTTTGTACTAACATGAGCAACACGACGGGTGCCACATGTGGAACAGGATCTGCTTACCCTTCCGGAGCACCTGAGAGCACCCCGTTTTTGGTGGGGTTCATGTTGCTCAGTCTTTGGTTTTCTATGTTGTGTTTGATGTACTGTTTGTCTGTTTGTCTTTTTCTTTTTTAGCCATGGCGTTGTCAGTTTATTTTCGACTTATGAGTTTGAATGTCCCTTTGGTATCCTTCGCCTCTCTTTTACCTACTCCAGCGATCCCTACCACATATCATATAGAAAATGCCTCCTCCCCCGAGTCAAGACCTGGTCATGGCTCGAAAACCTAAAACTGTTGTTGTGTTAATGCGGCAAAGTAGTCTTTCTTTCTGGCAAAATACTAAAGAAATATTGCCCATGATCAGCATAAAGACATGCGTCCAGTTTGACCATCCAAATGCATCGTTGTCATTCTTAAATTGTCTGCTTGATAGTAACCATTTCCGAATGTGAGCATTTAAATATGTTCCTGAAAATGGATAGCACTTATGAACGTGTATTACATATTTACACTTATACCTTGATAATGATGTGATATGATCAGAGTATAAACCCTGCATTGTACTGAACCGACACACTAAGCCTGATTCTTAATGTGCTTTTTCACAAGGAAACAGTCCACAGATAGACATGTCAGCCTACGTGGACAAATTATTCTGACTCCGAGTCGACCAGTCTATGCTCTTACTACTAGATGCCGCGTGCCTAGCGGAGAAGCAGCAAATACATATTTCCACGTCTTTGGTTTTACCCGGCCGGGGTTCTAACCCACAACTACCATGTGTTACCATTTGTTTCGTTACTACCTATGATGACCTTAATATCAACTAAAAAAATTGAAATATTTTGAATGTTCGTTTTGAAGACACCCCCTGAAAAATTTATGGATCCGTCCCTGTTGATCCTTACAAGCATTTGACAAAAACAAAATAAGGAAAGGGATATTACTTTACGTTTGTTTTCCTGATAAGCAAGCTGTGTATTGGACTCTGTGTATTGTGTATATCATACGCTTATAAGTAGATATTTTTTTTAAATTATGTACAATCATGAGATGAAAGTATGTATTGTCTCCGTAGTGTTATGTTGATAAACTTAGAGTAATCTCAGTGATAAATAACTATCATTGAAACCAGTCGTGATATATTACAACTCTTGGAAACTGGATTTAAATTTAAAAACATATAGGCTTATAATTCAAATTCAAATTCAAATGTTAATTGCCATATAAAGTTTAAACAACAAATAAGTATATATACAATATAACTGAAATTCACATATATATACACAATCATTTACAGTAAATAGTCCATAGTCTCATGTTCTCAGTTCTAAAGAATTTTTGATGTAGGACCCCAATTTATTTACTTGTGATGGTGTTGATGGATTGGGCATAAAAATCACATTTTCATCTATGCTGTGAGGTTTTAAGAAAAAGGACAACCTATGCGTATAGAATTATAGTTACATAAATTTCTCTATTCTTGTATTGGGAAGAGCGTCTGTTTTAAACACAATCACGTCTGATCGAATGCATTCATTTAATGTATTATCCAGTCTTCAGACAGTGCAAAACACATTCAACTTTTTTGTTTCCCCTTTAAACCCTCTATGCTCACAGAACCTAGACAATTGATTACTTTTTAAATACTAGTATGTTAACGTCTTAAATGTGGCTGAAATGTTTGATATTTGACCTGAAAAAGCAACTGCTAGTAGTCTATATGGAGGTAGAACTTTTTTTCTGTTTTTGCCAGCCATCAGATCTTGGATTTATCCGAGTAAACAGCACGTCAGTACTTTCATTCTCTGATGAGAAAGGTTCATATACTAGATATACTTATGTGAGGTGTGATGAGATGATTAAATCTATACATTTTCTCCTTGCCAACATTCATGTACGTTTCGGCAATAAAGTTTATCGACATGTTATAGGTATTCCTATGGGCACCAATTGTGCCCCTTTAGTAGCAGACTTGTATCTGTACTGTCATAAATCACAGTTTATGGCCAAAGTCAGTAAAGACCCGTCTAAATTCCATTTAATTGATAAACTCAACAACACTTACCGTTATCTTGATGATATTTTTTCGTTTAATAATTAAGAATTCTCTAAATATACTGCCGAAATTTACCAAAAGGAATTTACTTTAAATAAATTAAATATTAACTGCAATAATTGTCCTTTTCTAGATTGAGATATTTAAGTTTTTACACGAGAAACTCTACACAAAAATTTACGACAAAAGGGACGATTTTTCTTTCCCTATTAATAATTTTCCTTTTTTGGACGGTGATGTTTTTGGCACCGTCTTATGGTGTTTATATGTCCCAACTTGTGCACTATGCCTGTGTCTGTAGTGACGTTTTGGATTTCAATGATCGTAATCTATGTATTACTGGTAAGTTATTAAGTCAGGGATTTCTTTACTACGAATTACTTAAAACCTTTACAAAATTCTTCCATAGATACAAACAATTGGTTTGGAAGTTTGGCTGTACCTGTATATATATATATAGAAAACTTACTTCAAACGGAATAGCGCATCCTAATTTTTACGGTGATGTTGATAACCAAGCCCGGAAATTTAGATAAATTTTTCAATCCTTTAGATTAACTTATTCTAAAAAGTTACATATTCAACACTGTAATTAGATCTTTGCAAAGTGTTTTTATTGGTATAAATATTGATTTTGTTATCAGTAAATTAAAATCATACTAAATGTTATTGTTATACACATATGCACTTTCACGGTACTACAATCTGTCGTTACTATATTTTAGCATTGCACCAGGTCATGTTTTTCTCTTGACTGTTAATGACGCCATTGGATGTTGGATGTGTAATGATTGATATTTTAGTCTTAGATACATGATTTTTTATTAGTTGTTATTGGCTTTGAACTAGCTTTCAGTAACTGCGAGTACTCTCAGATCTGTACTTTGTGTTTTTGTTTTTAAGCCCTTTTCAACTTATTTTTATAGTTTGTTCTTATGTTTTACTGTAACACCACTGTCCCAAGTTTTGGGAAGGGCTTGGTGCCAGAAAACAGGTACCTGTAATTCAGTGGTCGTCGTTTGATGTGGTATATCATATTTGTTTTTCGTTTATTTTTTTGTACATAAATCAGGCCGGTAGTTTTCTCGTTTGAATTGTTTTACGTTGTCATTTCGGGGCCTTTTATAGCTTACTATATATATGCGGTATAGGTTTTGCTCATTGTTTAAGGTCGTACGGTGACCTATAGTAGTTAACTTTTACGTCGTTTGCCCGTCAGATGATGATTTGGTCTCTGGTGGAGAGGTGTCTTATCGGCTATCATTACCACATCTTATTTTTACGTTGCCTTTTAATCGATGTTAGCACTACGTCGATTTTACTGTAATCAATTTTTGCACGATACAGCATCATATATATGAATGGAATCCTGGGGTTCCAAGAAAGTTAAAATTGAAAGAAAACAAGAGGCTCTAAAGAACCTATGTCGCTCACCTAGGTCTATGTGCATCTTCAACAATGGACACCCTCCAACATTATTGAATATAATAGAATTCATGACAAAAATCTCTTTTTTGTTGATCTTGTATTGCTGATAATTTTTTCTGTGTACAGTTTCTCTCTGTCTTCTTTAGTTTTTGCCCAAAACACAAAAAAGGGTTAAATCGCTCCTATAATGAGTCCACTAACGTTTTTGGCAAAATTTAAGATATTTGTAGATCTAGTCTTGCTGACCATTTTTGCCGTCTTTCTATCTTAAATAGTTTTCAAGATAATATGCAAAAACGTAAAATATTGGTAAAAATCGTCATTAAAGAGCAAGAACTCCAATAAGAAACTGACAATTTCAGCCAGTAGACTTGTTTGTAGATCATGTCTTGCTGTTCAATTTTGCTTATTTAAGTTTCTACCTATCTATTTTAGTTTTTCAGATATTAGTCAAAAATGCAAAAAAAAAAAGGTAAAAATCTTCATTAAAGGGTAACATCTCCAATAAGGGGTCATGAGTCGATTTCAACCATGATAACGTTTTGTAGATCTTATCTTGCTGATAATTTTTGTTAAATTAAGTTTCTATTTATCTGTGATAGTTTTTCAGTTACTACACAAAACGCAAAAAAAATGGTAAAAATTGTCATTAAACATGTCAAAGGACAATAACTCTAACAAGGGGTCGTCAATCGATTTCATCAATGCAAACTTATTTGTAGATCTGGACTTGCTGATCAATTTTGTTTATTTAAGTTTCCTTAATTGTAAATTTTGTCTTATTAATTATTTTTGCTTATTTAAGCTTGTATATATCTATAATAGTTTTTCAGAAATGAGGTAAAAAGGCAATAAATTGATGAAAATCGTCATTAAAGGACAATTAACTCCAAGAATGAGTCGCTAGTTTCTCTCAGTCTATTATGATTTTTAAGATAAAAGCTAGATGAGCTAAAAATAACAAACGTGTGGGTTGAGAATTATAAAGATTGAACACGTTTTGTCTAAAGATAATTGATCAGTATTACCTCCAGAAACATGTGTTTAATCATACAACAAATGAAATTATTTCAAGATAACAGAATAACATGTTGATTTAACAAATGTTTTATTTGAGAAAATGACAAATAATATGTATCTGGAACAAAACAATTATTTAGAAGAACGTAAAAGTGAGTCTATCGTCAGAGAACAAACAAAGATTTCCCGGGACTGAAATATATTTAGTGGAAAATAAATATGGTTCAAGGAACGAAATAAGTTAGGTTTTGCACACTCCTATAATTCGTTAAAATAGTCAATTTTTATTTCAAATATTATAGAACTTGTTCTTACTTTATTTGACTCAATATTTACTACCCTTTCCAAGAGCATTTTTGAAGTCGAGTTGATCGAATAAATAAAGGAGTTCATTTCCTGTATGGATATAAAATATATATTCGAAGTGAAACTGCCTTAAAGGTCTTTGCTAAAGCACCTGCAAAAGTCGTTTGAAAATCAGATGGAATACAAATCGCCTTTCGATTTATTTGAAGACGTCGTTGAATCGAATGGAAAACCACCATCCGGATAGAAATCGTATCGTGTACATTGAAAACGCACCTTTCTGTGAACAGAAAGGCGATGAGCACTGTATGTGAAATGCCTCACATGGTATAGCATGCTCGCATATAGCTTATTACAAAATTTCATTCAGCTCTGGTTTGTAAATCTTTAGAAATATACGACAATTTCACAGGACAGACGGACACACGAAAGTAAAGAAGATTACCAAACATTTGGGTATAGTTTAGCTGTTGGACTCTTACTGATCGATAAACGGAAACTATTTCTACAGTTACTCAGTAATTCCGTATCGAACATAACTTTTAAGTGCATTTTAGTTATTGTAGTTCGATTAATCAGGGGTGTTTATTTATATAAAGCTTTATTTGCAAGCAAAACGATGGACTATATGATGTCACAATGTTTCTTATCATATGAACTATAAGAATTATGATTAGAAAAAAAATTCTAAAATCAAATAGAAAAGAAGACGGTCCTTATACGCATTTGATCATGTTTATGAAATAAACCTGCCAATTATATACACACATTTTCTTAATCGAAAAATCGAAAATGAACAAAATATACTTAGATTTGCTTATCTGAAATATGTATGCTAGTTTTCTTTTTGTATCAATTACATTAATTTTTGGCATGTATGGTCTTGCATATTTGCCACTTTATCGCACAGAACCGGGACATTTTCTTATCACCAACACATAATCAGGAAAATTTCGTTTTGCGAATTTTCAAGACGTTTGAAATAAAAAATCGATGTAAAATAGTTCGCGAAGTAAGTGTTATACATTGATGAAAAAGTTATCAACATAATGATTGTTTTAATGCCGTTAGTTTCTGAAACAAATTAAACAAACCAACCCCCGGTCAGGACCAAATCACCGGCAATAGATTATGCTCTCGCAGGAGGACAAACTCTGTCCCCGTGAGGTAGCACTAAAAACTGGCATCAAACGTAAATGTATTACTACTTTATGAAAGAAGTAATGCACCAACTTGCCTGCCTGTTTTAATTTGTTTGTTGTTATTTTAAAGGAAGGGGGTATTTCAATAACAGTAGGTCCCAGTATCATAATAAGGCAACACACAAAAGTATAACAATCTTGTAGTATTCAATAGTATAAGTACCGACCCAATAGTATTCAGGAAATATTATAATGTTAATATCTCTAATATTTGATTGGCTCAAATTGATGTAGAAACTTCAAAACGTAAAATTATTTCTTGAAATCACTACGATATAATATTTATGTCTAAGTAGTTTTTAATGAATCGATGTCGGTAAAAACTGCATCTCTTTTATGTACCATAATACAAATAGTAAGATATTGATCTACGTCCATAATCATTTTGGCAACTTGTTTGTGATTGAACTTCAAGACATTTATTCCATTCACCGAGTGGATATACTGGCGTACCTAGAAAACAAATAATATTTACGTCACATTGGATTGTTTTGAATCACAGGCGTTTAGGGTAAGGACCACGCTTTTATCTATATATTTTGTTTGTTTTCGTTTGTGTTTTTTTTTTATAAAAATCTTTAATATCTTAACTTATTTTCATCTATTTTCACTTATTCAATGTGTTCTTGCTCTTATCCATACGATATCGGAAATAACAGTAGTTTATATTTGATGCCCTCTATTCTTTTTTTCCGGTGTAAATTTGTAAGTGCACCTTTGATGCATGGTTGCTATGAAATAATGTAGGCCCATTTGGTTTGTAAACTATAAAATTTTGATATTTTTGGCTTTCAAAACGTCTTTTTCTAGAGAGTATCGTTCAGATATAATTTCAGATTCTATAACAAGCACATTCTGGTAAATACAAAAGCCCCAAATATTGATTCAACATCATTTTTATGTGCAAATGTTGATCGCTTAAGGATATTTAGTCTATTTCTTTTCCATTGTCCGAAATTTCGTCCCCAAGCGGATTTAAAAACAAAACAACACTTGCGCACCAATATAAGTTTTAACATATAACATTTGATTTATGTATTGAAAACTAATGACCATATCTTTACTTAATTTATATGTTTTAACTGGTCACCTTAAGTCCTGCAGCTGCCGCAGGCCCCAATGGATCAATGGTCTGGACGTAAGTCGGACCATCACCTCTAACAACGAATCCATAGCCAACAGAGTCACTTGTGATCTAAAATATGGAATACATGAAATTAAACTGGCAACAAAACATAATCATATACCACTTTTAAAGATTTGTATTCTATTTACAGCTTGTTTTGATAACGGTGTTTTAAGAAAAAGGAGATATGGTATGATTGCCAATGAGACAATTATCCACTAAAGCTCAAAGGACTAAGATATAAACAACTTTAGAGCGCTATATGGCCTTCAACAATGAGCACATCCGATACCGTATTTTTAGCTATAAATGGCCCCTGCGTGACAAAAGGAGTTTGCGTTTCTCGGCGAGTTGTTGATTATCTTGTTATGTTTTTAACCAAGTCATTCGGGAGGTTGTTTTTGATTAATTATATTTAATTTTGAATTATTTCCGGATTTTTTTAATTATCTTATATTTATTGTCTTCTTTATGTATTTATCGATATTTTCACTTTTCTTGAATTCTTCGTTGGTAGGTGTATAAATTATTAATATAACAAAGTCTTTTCAAGTTGACCTTAGTTGGATTTTGCTATTCTCTTTAATTTCATTTTGTTTGTACATCTCCTCACGCAATCAAGTCTATTTATACATCCCTTGCTTTCAAATTTTTGTGTTTGGGCGTTTCTGATGAATGAAAATCCAAAAAAGCGCTTCAAATTTATGAAGTGTTATTTTTATTTTCATACATTTTAAATTCACGTTTTGTGCACTTTTCCGTGTGTAATTTTTTACCGCAATGCTTCCAAAAGTAGAGATAAATGAATAGAATGGTTACGTTACTTCCAATAAATAAAAAAAACACACATGAATGCACAGAGATTCATTTTCGTTTTAAGGAAGTGCATGTTTTCGTTTTAAGGAAGTGCATGTTCGTAAAAGGTCAGTAAAAGACACAAAATATAAAATGAGCGAAGTCACGTTTACACCATAATTTGGGTTTTTATGTAAATTCTGTAATTGTTCTAAAGGTGATTTTGCAACTCTCTGGGGCAAAGTTTACCTTGAACGACTTTGATCCTTCTGGTTTTGATTATACAAACTTTATTCCAAAAACATATATTGTGACTGAAATCGGTATCATACATTATATAAAAGGCTATTTTGTCAGACATTTTGTAAGAACAAGTTGTCTTACCGCATGGTGTCATTAAAGTAATGGGATATCTTGCATGATTCTTGCATTAGTCATGGTTTATCCTCATATAACGTAAATTTCTTGAAAGACCTATCAATTTACATTAGCCATAATCTCATTGTGTTGAATAGATTAGCAAACCATTTTAGAAATAACAGGTCCATGTATATCAATATTCTTTATTCGTACTTCTACAGATAAAAACTTCTATGCTGAGCAAACAGTAATGTTAAAATTATTGTTTACATCACAGTTCATTTTCGAGGTCCACGTTTAAAGGGGCATTAGCTGTTAAAATTCATGTTCACCGATTTAACTCAAATTTTCATATTTGATTAATAACATACTGAAACGTATATCCAAATTACAATAAGTCTGAAATAAACAATTAACAATACATGGACTCGATAATATATATATATCAGCATTTCGTGTGTATTTTAGTCTAGACGCCATCTAATTAACCATCGAGATGACCTCCGAAGACTGACGACGGTCACATAACCCGATATAAACATAAACATAAATCTAAATAGATAGCGACCTAGTGTAATTGATCTTTTGTAGGTCTGTTTGAATTCATGTTATAGGTTAAAAAAAATAGTTAATCGTCGTTTTTACCTGTATAAGAATGATTTTTTGTGGATCGAATCAGTCAACGAAATGGATCACCTTTGTTTCACTTTCAATGTTGACATTCGTTTCCTTTTAATGGCTGAACACGACTAATACATCCGTGACCAATCTCTAGCTAATTGGTTACATTGAAAGTCACATGAATACGAATTCAATGAGGTCGAATTATTCACTTGCAAGTGAATAATTCATCAGCGATGTTTCTTAGCTTATTTGGACAAAATTGAACTAAACTGGTTGCTAAAAGCGAATTATAATTTCACTATTTCACTTTCATCAATGATTGAAGAAAATTAAACCATGTCGATTTCTATTAAACTCGACCGAGAATAAAAAAAAAAGACGTAAAGCGTCAGGGTTAAATTGCAGAATAAAAACAATTTATCCTGCAATCAACCTTTCTACTATAATAATACAGGTGTACAGATAACACGAAGCGATATACGTATACTAGACGTTTATAGTCTCCTGGTATCCTGCTTCTGTTGCGAGCGAACAGTTATGTCAAATTACTGTTTACGTCACAGTTCAATTTGGGGTCCTCATTGCGGTCCGCGTTTAAGTCATGTCGATTTCTTTCAAAAACAAATTCAACGATTGGGATGGAAAAAAAATGTACAAAATTAATTGCAAGATAAAGACAATAACTGTTTAGTGTCTTTAAATATCAGCTGTATTTGTACTCGGCTCGAAACAGGAGTAACAGCTCGCTGAAGCTCGCATTATACCTTTTTCTTAGCCTCGTACAAATACAGCTGATATTTAAAGACACTAAACAGTTATTGTCTATATAAGCACATTGACCGACAAAATAAAATGTATTTTTACGAGCTATATAAACAGGAAAAAGGAATCGCTCTATATAACTATGAGGGTCTGGATCGGGTTAACAGAGTAGAGAATAATGGTAAAATGTGCTGAATAAATGGCAAAAAAAATAAAATAGTAGAGAAAAAGAGGGCAAAAAAATAAAGAATAGAGAATAAAGGGGTGCTAAAATATAAAGAATAGAGAAAAATGACCGACATGAAGGACCCCAAATCAAGACCCTGGAAGTTGACACGCATATAAAAAAATCAAAAAATAGTAGCAAGAAACCCTTTCGGGAGATGGTTACTTTTTCGAAAATGCTATAATTATAAATCGTCAATTATAAATAAGGGATCTGCAAGCCAAACCATTTCCAAATGCTTTGTTTAAAATTTTGACTTGATTTTGATTGCCCCATTTGTATCTTCTTAATACTTCTAACTTGACTAACGGTTAATGATTGTAAATGTCTAGGGTAACCCAGATGTTAACGCCAAAAAGTGTAAAAGAAAAGTTGTATAAAACTGTATAAAATGGAAATTAGGTTCAGGTAAAAAAATAGGTTTAAATGGGACTCCCGTTTCATTAAGGAAAATTGAAAAGGACTTCAACCAAAATATATAAGTAATAAAAAGTATTCCTAAAAAATAAGCGCCGTGAAATTTTGTACCGTATATGAATGAATTATCTGTTTGTAAAATTCAAATGAAAGATAGAAAGAAAAGGCAACCGTTATTTTATACTGTTCTGTTAAAAAATATAACTCGTTAAATGTCAAAGGACGAGTGTCTGTTCGTGTGCTTGGTTGTTGGCTTTATCCTGTCAGTCTTGGTAATTTATCTAAAGAAGAAATCTTATCTCCTGAAGCTATCATATTTCTAAGCATTGGTAAAATGGCAATAACACTATGATAACATACCCTCACTAAACTAACTTAGACGACATAAAAAAATCAGTCGCGACATTCTCTTGTTATAATAACTTATATAAACTTACTCTCAATGATCTTTTGATATATGGGGTTTCCGGAGACACTAACTCAGCTACTGTTGCATGTCTCAGCAAAACTGAAACAAAACACATAACTACAAAACCTTTAATAGATCAAAGCACTGAATGTTCTAAAGATTACAAACAATACATAAAATCGAATAAAAATTAAGAAAAAGTAGCTCTTGCTATGATGGTATCACATACCAACGGAGTGCATCTAAATGTTAACAGAGTTGGGTCCATAAAAACAAAATGTCATGCCATGCAGGCATAATGAGAAAAAAACACCAAACTAAAAGGGATATAAAGTGGTCTGACTAAGTAAGCACAATGTGTATTAATAGAATATGGTATGGACTGACTTAGAAATAACATGTGTGTAAATAGAATATGAAATGAACTGACAAAGTAAAAACATGTGTATTAACAGAATATGAAATGAACTGACAAAGTAAATACATGGGTATTAACAGAATATGAAATGAACTGACAAAGTAAAAACATGTGTATTAACAGAATATAAAATGAGCTGACAAAGTAAAAACATGTTTATTAACAGAATATGAAATGAACTGACAAAGTAAAACATGTGTATTAACAGAATATGAAATGAACTGACAAAGTAAAACATGTGTATTAACAGAATATGAAATGTACTGACAAAGTAAAAACATGTGTATTATGTAACAGGGTACTCACAAGCTTTACATATACAAAAATGACAAACAGACAACAAACACAGTCAATAAAACACTACCAAAGAAAACTCATGAATGAGCAAAACGAACCCATCAAAAACCGTTTGGTTACAAATACATAACATTTTGTTCTGAAGAAAAATTTAAAGGAATTGTATCGTTTCAGAAAAATGTTAAACTGGTCTTAGTGTTGGCAGTTTAGTCTTCTCTAGTTTTATCGTTTTAAATCTTAAATATACACTTTTTGTTATTTAGAAAATGGTAGATAAAGGGGTGTCCAGTAATAAAAAATGCATTCGTATCTAGTATTATTTCTAACAATTTTTACTCATGTAAATTGCAAACCTTGTTCGATAGATATTCAATGTACGTAAAAGATTTACCTGACTTTGGCGATATTAATGAACTGTCACCATCAATTGATTCTGTACCGTCAAAACTTTCATTATCTGACGACGTTACACTAATTTTGTCATGGATGGAACCTTAAATAAAAGAGTACTTGTAGTGTCTGCTTTCAAAGTGTAACAAAACAACAATAATAGAGCAAATAGGCTTCCTGGTCAGCTCACGCTGGTTCTTTCAAAATGAACGCTTAGTTCCCGGCCTAAATTATTAGTTAATTAGTTGTAATATTACTTGTACCAGCCGAACTTTTAAACTCAAGTACAAATCAACATAACTGTTTCGTGTTGCTCAGTCTTTGGTTTTCCATGTTGTGTTTTGTAGATTGTGTACATTTTCTTGTCTTTTTTAGATTATTGCCATGGCGTTGTTACTTTTCTTCCACTTATGAGTTTTAAATGTCCCCACACAATCTTCCCCCTCTTTTTCATCTATGTTATAACTTTTTTCAACAAAAAAGGGTTTCCATGGATCACATAGTTCATAGATTTGAATATTTATTCTTCGTCGATCTTACATCATAATATTTTATATACTTGATTGTAGATGGTATCTTTAAGGTTCTGTATTCAAATACCTCTGTCAGTGTTGTCATTTATAGGATTCGGTTGAAAATTGAAACTGGTATCTACTGGATGATACTTGGGACTCGGGAAATAAGCAAATAACTCAAGGAAATAAAATCTGTAACAGGCATGTGTTTTGTAGAATTTCTTTGTTATAAGATAGCAACACATAATTTCTATACTTAGAATCAGATTAATATCACTGAAATAAACATTTTTTCATAATATTTCTTTAAATTCTCTAACGGGATTAATCAAAATTCACTTGACTGGTTTCACAGCATCTTGCGATATGAATTTGTTCACTTATAGGAATAACATAATATGGGGAAAATCTCAATAGTAATGTGAGGTAATGGCATATTTTTCCATCGTCAATACTCCAACCATAAGAATAGTCACTGAATTTAGCGTGATCTTATGGAATTTCATGCTTCCCTTTGAAAATAAAAGCTCTAGCAAAAATATTCTTAAATAATTAAAGATATCCTTTTCAAATTAGAACTCTTGAACTCCAGTGTTACAATAATTGAGATGAATTCATTGTACATGTACATTGCAAATTTAAACTGGAACTAATTATAAAAAAAATATTTGACTATTAAATTTACTTTCCAATAGTTATCTCCTTTTCGTTATATCAATTTATCTGTAAGAGAATGAAAGATAAATAGTATGCATACATACATGTGTACGAATCTGAGAATCTTCTGCTTGGGTCAAATTCGTCATGAGAATCAACCGATAAATGAGATTTTTCACTACTGGACGATCTTTTTCGGTCATAGTCTTTCACAATAATTGACGAATCCGAAAAGTTCCGGGAATGTGTCCGCATAGAAAACTTAAACACATTGTGAAAAGTAAACTTCTGATCAAAGTCAAATTCAAACTGATAAAGTAAACAGTTGTCATGTTTAAAATGGTGGTCGTCTGTAACTGAAAAAGAAAGAACTGGGAATTTTGAATAAAAGTTAAAAAAAGAAATAATACATACATGTTTAATCTAAACTCTGCCGAAAACGTACATAAAACACTTGAATTTCAAATTTAGTCTAGAAGTAAGATCTTAGAATATTGTCTTCATCGGTGCTAACATTGATCTTATTTCTAATAATTTATTAAATGAATAAACATGTATTGTTATCAAGGTATTAACACTTATGGATCTACATCCTGTCAATGCTTTTATTCAACCATTTCACATGCATGTCCATGCTTTTTTCAAACTCCTTAAACGTCTTTACCCTAAATTCTTTAGAGTGGTACTGAATGACATTTCTGTCTTGGAGAACATGGTTTATTTATTAGTGGAATTTGGGTTTTGAACTTTCAGTTACAGCGAGAACTCAAAGTAGTATGTGTCTATTGTTTTTTTGCTATTTGATTTTGTTCTAAGTACCAACCTATAATTGAAGCCCTTCCTACTAGTGTTTACACTTTGTTCTTATGGTTGTTTTTACACCACTGCCCATGGTTACGGGGAAAGGGAGGGGGTATGTGAGCGACCACAAACATGTTAAACCCCGCCACATTCTATACCTAACCCAAGCCAGAAACCTGTAATCCAGTGGTTGTCGTTGGTTGCTATCTGCTATTAATAATTGTTTTTCGTTCATAGCTGTAGTAAAAGTAAAATTTAACCTGTGGTTTACTGAGTTGTTTAACTTGTTTTATGGTTTGTGATAACGGAACCTTTCACAGCTTACTTCACGGTATTGATTTCGTTCATTGCTGAAGGCCCTTCGTCGACCTGTTACTGATCAGATATTTGTCTTTCGGTCTATGGAGAGTTGTCTCGTTGGCAATTATATCCCTTTATTTTTATATCGACCCATACTAATCTTGTCTTTTAATTCAATCATCTGACTATAAAGTCCATTTTGTTCTTTTGTCCTGCTTAAACTTAAAAAAGAAATATTAGTATGAAATAAAGTTGTCACTTGCCATGCTTTATGATATTATAGTCCAGTAACTTTCTGCCTAAATCTACTGCGTCTTCAGTACTAATATGTTCTTGATTGCTTAACCAGTCAACAAAAGCAGACCCAATAAAAGCCTCTTTGTATACTTGAGAATTTAACTGATAATCACGGATTATGCCTTTCTTTTTAGCTGTAGCTCTGTAATATTATATATAGCATGTAATCAAATTATATTGCAAAACATATTTATAAATGGTCTACTGCATGATAACTTCATTAAACATTGTTCATCTTTCCAAACAGAAAAATGATAAAAAGACAAACTCATTTCCTTGCAATTTTGTTTTGTTTTTCTTGTCATTTTCTTTTAGACACACAAAGTTGAAGTTATTTAAAGCTACCAAAAGTGGTAAGGGTTCAATTTAAATTTTAACCACTCTTTACAGGGCTAAAGTATATACTGTACATAAGATAAAATTTGCTTATTGTCGTTTCAATGACAACAAATATATATATGATTCGATTTCAGAAGATACTATTCTCATGTTCCATTTGCACTTTATTTTCTAAATTGGTATGTAGGTAACATGTACCTATATGTATAGATATGTTACAGTAAATATGTATAATCAGTGATTATGTAGAATCCCTGAAATTTTCAGGGATTATGTAGAATCACTGGCTAGTTTAGGGATTATATATAATCACTAAAATTTTCAGGGATTATGTATAATCACTAGAAAAAACGTCAGGGATTATACATAATAACTGAAATGAAGAAATAGTTTTATTTATAAAGAAAATGAATAAAAGTCAAATAATTTATTCTATAAAATCAGATTAAAACATCATTATAAACATAAATTGTAAAATGTTAAGCACAAAATATCAAAATGACAACCCCAATTTTTATACGACCGCAAAAATTGAAAATTTTTTGGTCGTATATTGGTATGACGTTGGCGTCGTCGTCGTCGTCGTCGTCGTCGTCTGGCGTCGTCCAGCGTCGTCCGAAGACACATTGGTTTTCGCACTCTAACTTTAGTTTAAGTGAATGGATCTCCATGAAATTTTACCATAAGGTTCAATACCACGAAAGGAAGGTGGGGATTGATTTTGGGGGTTATGGTACCAACTGTTAAGGAATTAGGGGCCAAAAAGGGGCCAAAAATAAGCATTTTTGTAACTTCCAGACAATAACTTGTGTGTAAGTGTATGGATCTCTCTGACATTGTACCACAAGGTTCCATATCACAAAGGGAAGGCTGTAATTGATTTTGGGGGTAATTGCCTCAAAATTTTAGGAATTAGGGGCCAAAAAAGGGGCAAAAAACAAGCATTTTTCTAGTTTCATGACAATAACTTGTGTGTAAGTGTTTGGATATTTCTGAAATTGTACTACAAGGTTCCATATCACAAAGGGAAAGCTGGAATTGAGTTTGGGAGTAATTGCCCGAAACGTTTAGGAATTGGGGGCCAAAAAGAGGCCAAAAATAAGCATTTTTCTAGTTTCCAGACAATAACTTGTGTTCAAGTGTATGGATCTCTCTGAAATTGTACTGCAAGGTACCATACCACAAAGGGAAGGCTGGGATTGAGTTTGGGGGTGATGAATCATAAGGGGGTTCAAAAAATTTGGGGGGGGGGATTTTTTTTTTTCTTTTTTTTTCTTTTTTTCCTTTTTTTTTTCTTTTAAAATTTTCCATTTTAAGTTGGTTATTTCTGATTAATATTTAAAAGCAAATAATAATGATATGGTAGGAGATACACACCAAACAGGATGTGTAAATTATTATATAATAAGTATTGTGCAATAGCAAGAAATTTTCAATTGCACAGTATTGCACAATTGCAAGAAATCTTCAATTGCACAGTATTGCGCAATAGCAAGAAATCTTCAATTGCACAGTATTGCGCAATAGCAAGAAATATCCAATAGCACAATATTGCGCAATAGCAAGAAATTGTCAATTGTACAGTATTGCACAATAGCAAGAAATATTTAATTGCACAGTATTGTGCAAAAGAAGATACTTCGTATAAATTGCTTATTTCTTGATCAATTTCAATGGGGTTTTATTCTTGAATTCTTGGGGTTCTTTAATATGCTGAATCTAACCGTGTATTAAGTTTTTGGATTTTGGGCCCCGTTTTTAAATTGGTCCACATTGAGGTCCAAAGGGTCCAAAATTTAACTTTGTTTGATTTCATCAAAAATTGAATTATTGGGGTTCTTTGATATGCCGAATCTAACCGTGTATTTAGATTCTTAATTTTTGGTTCCGTTTTCAAATTGGTCTACATTAAGGTCAAAAGGGTCCAAAATTTAACTTAGTTTGATTTTAACAAAAATTGAATTTTTAGGGTACTTTGATATGCTGAATCTAAACATGTATTTAGATTTTTGATTATGGGCCCAGTTTTCAAGTTGGTCCAAATCGGGGTCCAAAATTAAACTTTGTTTGATTTCAACAAAAATTGAATATATGGGGTTCTTTGATATGCTGAATCTAACCATGTATTTAGATTTTTGATTTTTGGGCCCCGTTATCAACTTTGTCCACATTGAGGTCAAAAGGGTCCAAAATTAAACTTTGTTTGATTTCATCAAAAATTGAATTCTTGGGGTTCTTTGATATGCTGAATCTAACCATGTATTTAGATTTTTTATTTGTGGACCCGCTATCAAATTGGTTCATATTGAGGTCAAAAGGGTCCAAAATTAAACTTTGTTTGATTTCATCAAAAATTGAATTATTGGGGTTCTTTGATATGCCAAATCTAACCGTGTATTTAGATTTTTAATTTTGGGTCCCGTTTTTAAATTGGTCTACATTAAGGTCCAAAGGGTCCAAAATTAAACTTAGTTTGATTTTAACAAAAATTGAATTCTTGGGGTTCTTTGATATGCTGAATCTAAACATGTGTTTAGATTTTTGATTATGGGCCCAGTTTTCAAGTTGGTCCAAGTTGGGGTCCAAAATTAAACTTTGTTTGATTTCAACAAAAATTGAATATATGGGGTTCTTTGATATGCTGAATCTAAACATGTATTTAGATTTTAGATTTTTGGCCCAGTTTTCAAGTTGGTCCAAATTGGGGTCCAAAATTAAACTTTGTTTGATTTCAACAAAAATTGAATATATGGGGTTCTTTGATATGCTGAATCTTACCATGTATTTAGATTTTTTATTTGTGGGCCCGCTATCAAATTGGTTCATATTGAGGTCAAAAGGGTCCAAAATTAAACTTTGTTTGATTTCATCAAAAATTGAATTATTGGGGTTCTTTGATATGCCAAATCTAACCGTGTGTTTAGATTTTTAATTTTGGGTCCCGTTTTTTAAATTGGTCTACATTAAGGTCCAAAGGGTCCAAAATTAAACTTAGTTTGATTTTAACAAAAATTGAATTTTTGGGGTTCTTTGATATGCTGAATCTAAACATGTGTTTAGATTTTTGATTATGGGACCAGTTTTCAAGTTGGTCCAAGTTGGGGTCCAAAATTAAACTTTGTTTGATTTCAACAAAAATTGAATATATGGGGTTCTTTGATATGCTGAATCTAAACATGTATTTAGATTTTAGATTTTTGGCCCAGTTTTCAAGTTGGTCCAAATTGGGGTCCAAAATTAAACTTTGTTTGATTTCAACAAAAATTGAATATATGGGGTTCTTTGATATGCTGAATCTTACCATGTATTTAGATTTTTTATTTTGTGGGCCTGCTATCAAATTGGTTCATATTGAGGTCAAAAGGGTCCAAAATTTAACTTTGTTTGATTTCATCAAAAATTGAATTATTGGGGTTCTTTGATATGCCAAATCTAACCGTGTATTTAGATTTTTAATTTTGGGTCCCGTTTTTAAATTGGTCTACATTAAGGTCCAAAGGGTCCAAAATTAAACTTAGTTTGATTTTAACAAAAATTGAATTCTTGGGGTTCTTTGATATGCTGAATCTAAACATGTGTTTAGATTTTTGATTATGGGACCAGTTTTCAAGTTGGTCCAAGTTGGGGTCCAAAATTATACTTTGTTTGATTTCAACAAAAATTGAATATATGGGGTTCTTTGATATGCTGAATCTAAACATGTATTTAGATTTTAGATTTTTGGCCCAGTTTTCAAGTTGGTCCAAATTGGGGTCCAAAATTAAACTTTGTTTGATTTCAACAAAAATTGAATATATGGGGTTCTTTGATATGCTGAATCTTACCATGTATTTAGATTTTTTATTTTGTGGGCCTGCTATCAAATTGGTTCATATTGAGGTCAAAAGGGTCCAAAATTTAAATTTGTTTGATTTCATCAAAAATTGAATTATTGGGGTTCTTTGATATGCCAAATCTAACCGTGTTTTTAGATTTTTAATTTTGGGTCCCGTTTTTTAAATTGGTCTACATTAAGGTCCAAAGGGTCCAAAATTAAACTTAGTTTGATTTTAACAAAAATTGAATTCTTGGGGTACTTTGATATGCTGAATCTAAACATGTGTTTAGATTTTTGATTATGGGACCAGTTTTCAAGTTGGTCCAATTTGGGGTCCAAAATTAAACTTTGTTTGATTTCAACAAAAATTGAATATATGGGGTTCTTTGATATGCTGAATCTAACCATGTATTTTGATTTTGGACATTGGACCATAATAGGTAAATTAAAAAAATTGAAGTTCTTAGACCACATTCTTTCTGTGTCAGAAACCTATGCTGTGTCAAATATTTAATCACAATCCAAATTCAGAGCTGTATCAAGCTTGAATGTTGTGTCCATACTTGCCCCAACTGTTCAGGGTTCGACCTCTGCGGTCGTATCAAGCTGCGCCCAGCGAAGCATTTTATTTAAAATGTTAGGCGCAACACATTAAAATGTTAAACACAATATATTAAAAGAATATGCTTCACATCTGTTTTTACCACAATATCCACATTTAAAAAAACCTTTTTCTTCACATATCAAATCAGATTTTACGACACGCCTAAGAGAAATAAAGTGTTCAGTAAAAACATCTGAAGGTACCCCCAAAAAAGGGAATTAACAACCTCCAGCTGGTTTGAGCAAGATACCATGTTTTGCGGCCAGGCGATATCCTTTTTCAGACTTTTTGTGAGCAATTGCCATTATGTTTTTCGGGTTTCCCTTTCCTTTTTTACCCTGCTCTGAGAATATTACACCAAATGCCAGCTTCCTCTAAAATTTTGTCCTTTTTGTCAATCCTTAGTTCTTCCTGTTTTTCTATACATTTAGATGCGTAAGTTCTCTCAGTTTGACTTTCTTGTTCATTTTATCAACAACAAAAAAACACAAAAAAAAAAACACAAAACAAATGGTCCATAATCTTCTTCACCATTTGTTTTACATGTACCACAAGTAACATGCTCTGTGGATTTGAATATCCATTTGACGCTGGATTTTAATAAACAAACAATACATGTAAAGTTATCGCTATAAAGGGAATGTTGATTATTGTTAATTTTGAAGTCTTCAACGTTATCTCGAAACCCTGTGATGGTTATATCTTTAAGACCATTTTCTGTGTTTAAAAGTAAAATTATTTTATCTGGCAATTAAAAAGGAATATGAAAGAAAAAAATGATAATTTGTCTATATTAATTTTTTTTATCAAACAAAGGATCCTTAAATTATTGACAATCCCTGAAATTTTATTAGGGAATTTGAAGAATAATTATTAAAATGTTCAGTGATTATGTAAAATCACTGGTCATTTTCAGGGATTATATATAATTACTAATGATTTTAGTGATTCTACATATTCCCTGAAAAATCAGGGATTCTACATAATCCCTGATTATACAAATTCACTGTAACAGATATACGTGACTTGCAGTTATTATATACCCGTTTGTGTGCAGTATGATATGGTTTATTGCTTTCATTATTGGTGAATATTGTCTCGAGTAGATTTTTGTATTGCGCGATCTTGCGAGTGCACTATGTATTCTACGAGGGATAATATTCACAAATATTCATGCAATAACCCTTTTATTGTATGGACCAAAACTTTGAAAAACTGTTTAAAATATATTTTTGTCACTAATGACGTCCATTTTTGAAGCTATATTTACACTAGTGCAAGATGATAGAATAATGCACACTAAATTGTCGTTGCGTTCTGCGGGAAATATTTTATTTCACTGTATGTAAATATTGATCCATGTGCCATTGAATAATACTCCATTTTCCACTTAGTATATCATATCACATTGAGACTACCTCGTGTAACGTATTATAGAATTATTGTAGAATTATAAGGATTAAAAACATTTTGTCTAGAGGTTATTGATGTGTAAACTGGGCCGCTGGCTCGGACTTTTATTCAGTGTGTGAGTTAATCGCCTATCTCGTGTGACGTTACGCGCGGTTAATGTTCATAATGTTTTGAACACAATAATACAAGTATATTTGTGCTTACAGTCTATAGATTTGTTGGCCTTTATAAAACATTTTGAGATCCATATCCATTTTATGTGTCCCATCATCAATTCTAAATCTGTAGAATAACATGTCGTCCTTGAATAGATGGTCATCACAAACTACAAACAGCAATACATGTGATTACAATACTATTTAAATTTTACGAAAAATAAGAGCGGAAAATAGGAGTGATGAAAATCTAAAAAAGTCTTGTGAAATATAGAAACTTTAGTTATTTTGTTTATAAACAGTTTACTGTTGCGATTATGAAGATTAAGAAAATGTGATATGTCTTTTATATGAATTCTTTTTTGGAACTGCACTAATCAATGATTTGCAGGTGTCTTAATAAAATGACAATATTTTTAATCGATGTTTGTGTAATAGTTTACCGAAATCTTTTTTTCCATAGAATTGATAGGGTTTGTGGAGGGGATTATTTAATTTTACAAATATTGTTATGTTAATTGTTTATAACACTCAATAATTTCGCACTTTGTATTTTTGTAACAGGAAGGTATCTCAGTCTCTTAATCATGTCTATTGCACATGGTAAATCATTTCATTATACGTCTCGGGGAGAGGGAGAAGAGTAGCCTTAATATTTCTCTTTGAAAACCAAAACAAATTGTTGAGATCTTTTTTATCTTACCGTGGTGGAGAATATAATGGTCTTGTAGAGTTCTCAGTGCTGTAACTGCTGCAGATCGGGTATCACACAGTTTACAGTCTACTAGCCAGGATACAACTTCCTTACCAACAAAACAATTTTTATACGTTTTGAAGTGATATTTTCTGTCTTTCAGTAAATTCGAAAAGTTAATTCGTGTCCTGAAAAAATATATATTGACAAATAGACCAAAGATATTCACAATGAAAATTCGTACTATATCGGTTCTTAAACTGTGTCATGCCTGAAAATAATATTCTATTACAGTACTAAATACCCATCAAAATACCAGACTTATGATTTGTTTCACCAGACGAGCGTTTCGTCTACACTAGACTCATCAGTGGCGCTTTAAAAAAACGTTGAAAGGCCAAATCAATCACATAGTTGATGAGCACCTCAAGCCAAAATTTCCAAAAAGTTGCGCCAAATACGAATAAGGCTATCTATGCCTGAGAATAGATAAACCTTAGCGTTTCGAATGATTCAAAATTTTATGAACAGAAATTTTTTAGAAAATGGCTATACCCATAATACAAAGTGCTGACTATTGTGCTGGTGATACCATCGAGTACGAAACGTGCACCAGCAGGGGAAATCGACCCATTGGTGGTAAAAACTCATAAAAGATACAAGGCTGATACATATAATTTGTCACGACACACGTGCGTTTCTTCTACAAAAGACTTATCAGTCAAATTAAACACGAAGTTGCAGAGTATTGCAAGCCAACAATTCCGAAAAGTTGTGCCAGATATTATCAACATAAAATTACCATATCCATGATATGTCATTTCAACAAAAAATGCTGATGTCTGACGACGCCGGGCGCAAAATGATAGCAAGAGGTCACACTGGCCGAAGGTCAGATAAGGTATGTGGCACAAATCATCAGCAATACAAGATCTACAAGAAATAACAATCAATAGGCTTGGAGTCTTTACCAAAGACGTTCAGGTCATCGCCAAGAAGCCAAAGTGAATTATTGCTATCAATGTGTATATGATAGAAACATATTGAACTTTTTCTTTCTCTTTGGCGTTTATAAAGCACAGAAAGGACCCTCGGAATATATATATAAAGAATGTCAGAATACGTTAGATAAGATAAACTAAAGGCTCGAAGGAGCTGTGGTAAAATATGCCCTGTTGAAATTTTCTGATTTTTACGCAGATGATACCAAACGGCCTTGAAAAGTGAACCAGTTCCAACATCATTCAAGCCCTAAATCACAGCGAATATGGTGTATCTATATTTACCTTAATTGGTCTCCAATATAAAAAATCTCATTCTTATTGCTGAAGCTTTTGGAGCGCTCTCTTTTCACATCCATTATTTGACATTAATTATGTGCACGTTGATCATTACAGAAAACGTGATATTAGATGATACTGCATGAATTTTATCACACCACTATTTATTAATAATATGATAAAACCTCGACAAAATAAACAAGGGCGAGGAAGATATATTTAGATAAAAGCTATCCACATAGGGAAACCAGTTTGTGTTTAATAACATTCATAAAAATCACGAACATACATGTATATCTTACAACTTTAGGGTTTTTGTGCATATTAGGAATGACGATCCCGGTTTATAACTGACAACAAGAACGTCGTCATCTGAAGGTACGATTTATGCCCAAATAGGTCAAATAAAATCCATCTAAAACCTGGTCCGATTTCCAGACATGAATATAGAATACATTAATAAACATAACAGTTTTGTATAAAATATTTCCTTTCATGGGAAGTAAAGCCATGAAATGATAATAAATTCAGTGACATTACGTGTGTTCTGTGTTACATTTTTCGCAAAAAAAAATTCCTGTTTGCTTATTTTTGTTTATAGAATGAGGAATATTCCTTGTGACTCCACGTAAATGACACAATGGAATAAAATTTGTTAAAACTTACCTTTTTCTGAGGGCTTCTAACCTAAGTTTAAAATGTGATTAGTAGTGGTATTTTCGGTGAAAAGAGTGAGGAGACATCAGGGGAGCAATCAGCAAATTCATAGACCCATCGGTCATGTGAATTCTCTAACCCTAAAATTTTACCGAATGAGAAAATTCGAAATGAAAACACGCAATATCCAAAGGTAGTCACGCCTGGTAGAACAACTCAAACATTGAAAATATTTGCACGATATATGTACAATGCATTATATTTATTTAATTCACTCATGTATCTATATGAGAATTTTTTTATATCAAAATGTAAGAATAAGTTAAACTGGTTTTAACAATGTTAAAAAATTAGAAATAGCTATTCTAACGGATAATTTTCAAAATTGTGTGCACGTTCATCATTGTAGAAAACGTGATGTTAATTGATACTGAATGAATGATATAAATTATTAATCATGTGTGATATGATAAAACCTCGACAAAATAAACAAAGGTGACAAACAAATGTTAAGATAAAAGTTATCGTCATAGGGAATTTTGTTTAATAACACAATATACATTTTGAGTTAAGTGACAACAAATCAATGTTTTTTTTCAAATCAAACATATCATGATTCTTAAGTGCTTTAGAAATTGCAGTCCTCTTCAGGGGACAAGTTTGAGTGAGTTGGAATAATTTAAATACTTACGATCAATCTATATGCTATTTTTACCTGTGTTACAATACTGAACATCAGAGGTCAAATAACCAATGGTTCCTTAATCATTTCTAAAATTATCAGCGGATGATATCAAAAGGTATGGTATATATCAGGGCGCAGGACTTTTGCGCTTTTTTTACCTGTAACACAACAGGACACTCAAACAATATGGACATTTGCGATTGAGACTTTAATACACCTGAACCAAATTGACCGGATATTTGCGCTTTTTGTCTATATATGTTTACCTGTAAGCTTAACCAGATTTACCAGTCAAGGCATGGCAAAAAGTAGAAACAATATTCCCCGTATGATCATTCTATAGTCTGGAAAGTCCGAGGAACTCTTACATCATAGTTTCTATCAGATTGTTTCAATTTGTAGAGACTGAGATTAGATTTTTTAACCACCTGCTGTTCATATTTACTTTGAAGAAAGATTCATGGCTGTAATAAGGATGTCCCATTATGGGTTTATAGTTATTCCACATAACTCCTCCTACAGTTTGAATGCTAGGAAGTTTTCACTTTGCTGGCTGTTTGTACATATATTGAAGGTGTGCATGTGATCAGGGTTTTGATTTTTATTAATATTTGCTCTTTTGGGAGATAGTTGAACTTTGTCATTTTTTTGTATTTTAAAATAACTCTGCCGGGGCATCATTTGTGTCTCCCAGGTACAATAATATCTCAAAGAAAGTCCTACATTGACTTTGTTATAATACAGTTACTTCAGAGTGGAGTGCGGGGGCATCACTTTGTCTAGTTTTAAAGTGCGATGGTTATATGTTACACAGTAGATTATTTTTATTTCACAAAATAAACTTATTAGAGTTACTTGATTAAAAAAAATTATTATTTTTTTTTCTTTTCACTTCCTGAATAAAATGTAATTTTCAAAATTCTCATGGACTTATTGACATTAAAATTTCCCCGAAAACAGAAGAATGCTGGGGGTATTGGTCAGTGAAAAGTAACCCAATAACTAAAGAAAGAAAAGGACAACTTTAAATCAATGAATGTGTTGTGTTTTTGGATATTAAATGAGTTTTTAAATTTTTAACCATGATAACTGAAATGCTATGTGTATAAAACTCAAATGTCCTGTAAAAAAGCGCAAATGTCCTATAGAAAAAACGCAAATGTTCTTTTATAAAAGCGCAAATGTACATTAAAAAAAGCGCGTATGTACATTTATAAAGCGCAAATGTCCTATCAAAAAGCGCAAACGTCCCGTTCCGGTCAATATTACCGACTATTGAGATCATGATACCATCGTTAGAGTAGACAAGGTTTCTACCTGCAGCGGTATCTCCATAGTGCTAGAAAATGAAAATAAGGAAATTTGATTTATTAAATTATAGTATATACACAATACAATGCATCTTTCTTTATCAACGAATTCAGCAGGCAATTCTCTCAGTCTATTTTTAGGCACTAACATAACAATTTACTTTTAGCTTATTGGGAATACTGCCCTAGAGGGGAATAAGAGTGTTGTTGATGAAATTGATAGTACACACCGACATATCGGATGTATTTATAATCAGCTATTATTTTCTGTTATCGAACTATATTCGAAATATCTATCTAATATCGTAACTTTAACATGGATATACACGATGTCTTGAAATAGTTATTTGATATATTGTTCATTTGATTGGGAATTGATTATCTAATATCCAAGTGTTTAAAATGGGTCCTAAACGCCCTGGTAAACAGAGACCGGCTCCATATGATCCAGAACTTTTGGAAAACAGGACTTTAACAAGACTCCTTGCAGAGATGAGAAGAAGGAACATTCAAATTCCAACTAACGATAGGAGAAAGGCTTTAGTTCGATTATTAAGACCTTTCAGTGTCGAGGAATATAAGCGGCGGCCATGACAGCATGTAAGCATCAGTTACATCACAAGATACAGGTGCGCGATCCCACAATACACCGCAAAATGTAAACAATGGGAATAGAAAGGCTATTTTAGTAGATTTACTGTCAAAACTTTCGTCGAATGTTCAAAATCTACAGCAGAATGTTATTTCTTTGAACAATAAAGTTACTGCTTTGTCCAACAATATTCCTCGCAATGACAGTCTTATTACAAGTCCGTCCGTTCCCTCAAGTTCTCCAGTTTCAACAACTTCTGTCGGGGGCAGTCAAATATTTCCAACTACAACTCCTGCTACATCAGTATCAATTACAAATCCCAGTTCTACAAGAAACTTTTCGATTGCGTCGGCTCTCCAAAGCTTTCAAGCATCGTCTTTAAAAAGGCATGATCCTACCGCTGCTGCAGGCAGTGAAGCGCAGGCTCAAGAGGTCAATGATCGTGATATAAGAGGATACATACGAACCTGTTACGGTTATTCTGCAGAATCCCTGCCTTTGGTGGAAACAATTTCACCACAACTTAGGCAAAATATTACAGCAGGTAGAGACGTTAATCTTGCATCCCTGTTAATAGTACTTAGTACCCTATTACACTGGTCCATGCAGTGACAACATTAGACAAATTCCGTATCCCAATAAACCGGATCCCAGATTAAATAGATCCTTGACAATAGGGGAATTTGTTCAAGCATTTAGCATTTACAAAAATGTAATGTGTTCAGCATATCCCCAGAGGCGGAATGAGCTTGACCTTTATGAAAGAGATATAGTGGATATGGCCACCAGGTATGGAGGCAGGGGATTTTATGAGTACCACAGGCAGTTTTCTTTACAAGCTGCGGCGCATTTATGTTACAACAATATCATGGTTGATTGGTCCGTACGAAACAATTCGTTATTTTGTAACATTTTTGCTAATCTGAGGCCAAACACCTGTGAACATCGTCATAGCACCCTTCATCTATCTGGGTTTTGTCCCTCATTATTCCTAAAGGAAGGTACTATTGGTATGCTCAACTCTCCAAGCACAAAAGGCAATAAGTCTGATACATATGGCAGATCACGAGTATATCATAATGGAAAGGAAATATGCAACAATTTTAATGGGGAAAGAGGATGCAAAGCATTAAGGTGTAACAACCTTCACATTTGTCTATTATGTAGGAAGGACCACTGACAAACTGGCTGCCTGGGGTCAAAAAACGAGGAAGGGCCCCAGAAAACTGGGGCAAATCAGTTCAGGAAGAGGTAAATAGGACACAAAATTACGATTTGTCATTATACACACCTATTAACGTAGACAGATTACAATATGAATTGATCAAACACCCCGATATAAATTTTACTGATTACTTGATTCATGGTTTATAGCATGGTTTCCATACAGGGTTTAGGGTTTTGCCTGACATTTCTATAGAATGCAAAAACTTAGTTTCAGTAATTTCTCAGCCGTAATGTGTCAGCATCTTAATTGATACAGAAATTCAGAAAGGTTACTTGTGTGGACCTTTTGACATAATACCGTAGACACACTTTCGTATTATTCCAATTAGTGTAGCTGAAGGCAAGTATTCCAAAAAGAAACGACTCATAGTTGATCTATCAGCGCCACATGATGATGAACTAAATCCTAGTTTAAACGAGTTAATAGATAAGGAGGAATTTTCCTTACACTATGTTAAAATTGATGATGCAGTTAACATCCTCGAAAAATTAGGTCAAGGGGCATGACTAATCAAGACCGATATAACCGATGCGTTTAGAATAATTTCAGTGTCTCCTGATTTATGGCCTTTTCATGGTATTCAATGGAACGACAAATATTATTTTTCAAACAGTTAGTTTTTGGCTCGCGTTCAAGTCCAAAAATATTTGACAATCTTTCGCAAGCAGTGTGCTGGGTTGCTACTAACAATTACAACATAAGGAACATTCTTCATTTATGAGATGATTTCTTAGTAAAAATTGAAAACAACAGGTTTAATAATTTCATGCATTTCATAGTAATAGAGCCACAGGGCGCTGATGCATTTCAAACCAAAGAAACTTTGTTGTCTATATTTGATTCATTAGGAATACCTGTATCAGCTAAGAAGACAGAGGGGCCTTGTAAAGTTATTGAATACCTAGGTATATTTTTAGACTCGGAACCGATGGAAGACCGACTACCTTTAGAAAAAGTTAACAGGATTTGTGAATTAATTGGGACGTTTCGCAACCGCGAACATTGTATGAAAAAAAAAATCCTACGTCTTTTAGGGCACATCAAATTTGCTTCAAGAGTTATTTTTCATGGAAGATCCATTGTGTCACACCTTATAGCTTTATCAATCAAGGTAAAGAAACTTCACCATCGAATACAATTAAATCTTGACTGTAGATAAGATTTGGATATGTGGTTGAAATTTTCGAAAAAATGGAATGGTGTATTTTAATGGAAGCCGCTGATATGGAACTTTATACTGATGCTACACTAATTTCGTTGCAGGTTTTTACAAAAATCTGTGGTTTCAGGGGGATTTTCCTATAGAAGTTATGGATGAGCAAACATCTATGGCGTTTTTTGAACTTTACCCCATAGTCATGGCTTGTGTAACTGGAACAGAAAGCGTATTTTGTTTCATTGTGACAATATGACTACAGTTGATATTATTTCCAAAGGCAGGTCTAAAGATACCAGTATGATGAAGCTTATGAGAAAGTTGACTTTTCATGCTGCTACAAACCATTTTATTTTTCATGCTCAACATATTCCTGGTATTAATAATAATATTGCGGACTCTCTTTCTCGTTATCTCGTTACCAGATGCAGAAATTCAGAATACTAGCACCAGAAGCAGAAGAAAAGCCAGTGCCTTGCCTTTTGCCTTCCCACATAATGATGTTTTAGAACAACAAGCACGTAATTTATGGGACTTATCGTTATGTCGGAGAACAAAACAAACTTATAAATCAGCCTTACAGAGTTTTGTAACATTCATGAATATGAGCGGGATACAGTGCTCCCTGAATTGTTTACCTACAATTACAGAGGACCATTTGATTTACTTTGCAACACACTGTAAGAATAGTAAAAAGTTGCAGCATGATACGATCAAAATGTACATAGCCGGTATACGATACCATTACTTGCGTGCAGGTCATAATGACCCTACAGCAGGGACAGAACGACTTCCGTATATCATGCGGGGTATTAAGAAAGGGGTATTAAGAAATTTGTGTTAAAACAAAGAAATCTAAGACTGACCCTTTTCGAGTAGGAGTAGATATAACCATAAATGAGAATGATATATTTGGACCAGTTGATACTATAAACAAGTATCGCTTAGAAATGGGCGCCTTACAAAGTTTTCCTTTATTTGTTGAAAGTGATTTTGATACAAGGCCATTATCTAGGGAAACTTGTAGTCAGCACTTCTGTGTTGACATGAATTATCATTGATATGGTCATAATTATAAATTAACTGTTTACAAAATTTAGAATTTTTTGAAATACTAAGGCTTTTCTACCTCAGGAATAGATTACCTTAGCTGTATTTGGCAAAACTTTTAGGAAGTGTTGGTCCTAAGTGCTCTTCAATTTCGTACTTATTTGGCTGTTTAAACTTTTTTTGATTCGAGCGTCACTGATGAGTCTTTTGAAGACGAAACGCGCGTCTGGCGCAAATACTAAATTCTAATCCTGGTATCTGTGATGAGTTTATTTCCATCTACTACTTAAGACAGTTTTGTATCCGTCTTGGTTATAGCGAAAGTAAGTTCTGTGGTCACTCGTTCAGAATTGGTGCTGCTACTTCAGCTGCAGTGGCTGGAGTTGAAGATCATATCATACAAACACTTGGTCGATGGTCCTTTGCCTGTTATATCAGATATATTAGAACTGATAAGATGGTTATTTGTAAAGCACAGAAGAAAATGTGTCTTTTTTGGAAATTCTATTATATTTTACATGTTACCAATATATTTTATTTTTTATTTTTGTATTTGGTAGCATTAATATTATTTCTTTGGGGCTTTCACTCATTCATTTTATGAACTCATTCAATTTGGCCTTTATTTTCGAGAGGAATCATACATACAATAAAACATCAGATAGGTTATTTCCTGCCGGGATCTCCTCAGGAACAATTATGTATTTTAATGTATTATTTTTACTCCGCTCGAATCTCCCCGGAGCCTCGTAGGCCTGTTGGGATCTGTTTGAGATGTGAATCAGTAAAAGAACTATAGTTTGCATTATCATGAAAAAGGGACAAATAAGTTGATTGAGATATGACGTGTTGCGAACCTATAACACTCTATAGACTTTTTTTACTGAAACCGACGAAATAAAGATATGGGATGAACACTACTGAGATAATAACGAAACACAACAATAAAACTCAAAACGACAGCACACGATCTCTAACAACAGGCAGGTTCAAATTCGATAATCATAGATAGATATAAGAAGATGTGGTATTAGTGCCAATGAGACAACTCTCCATCCAAGTCACAATTTGTAAAAGTAAATTATTATAGGTCAAAGTACGGCCTTCAACACGGAGCCTTGGCTCACACCGAACAGCAAGCTATAAAAGGCCCCAAAAATGACTAGTGTAAAACCATTCAAACAGGAAAACCAACGGTCTAATCTCTATAAAAAAACGAGAAACGAGAACACTTATGCACCACATCAACAAACGACAACCACTGAACATCAGGTTCCTGACTTAGGACAGGTGCAAACAAATGCAGCGGGTTTAAACGTTTTAATAGGCGCCAACTTTCACCCTATCTGAAACAAAAGTGTAACATCACAACATAGAAAGACACACTATAAAATATCAATTGAAGAAATGGCTTAACTCAATCAAAAGACATTATAACAAAAACAATTGTACATACACTGAACGAATGAATTTGATCTATGACACAAGGTAAATACAACCATAACATTGGACAAAAAGCCGACAAATAAAATAACGTACACAGGTAAATAAAAATAATTTTGTTGTAAGGTATACATGGAGTACGGAAATAATCTTTACAAAACAAATAATTCTGCCGTTCCTAGCACGAGAACAAAAGTGAAGATTTATCGTCATACTAAACACTTACCAAAGGTGGTATATATTAAAAATAGTGAGACTAGATATAACCCTGAATAAGTAAACATTAAATAACAAAAATACATTACAAATTGTATCAACAGGTCAAATAAACACGAAAGTACGATTTGAAAAACAGTTTTATACACATATCTCTTTCATATTATCTTTATTAATACAAATATACACAAACATAAAAATGAGACAAATATTTAATCAACAAATTTACTGTCAGATATTGCAAGATTAAAATTTAAAATAAAACAGTTGGACTGGTAAGTAATTCACGCAAAATTCATATATTCACATACAGCTGATTAGAATCCATATAATCATCTACTAATTCATGAATAAACTTGTATTGCTCCTAAAACAATAAAATTAAAGAATTAATTAATTTAACATAATTATAAACATACAGATTCGATACAACAAAAATAATGTATCCTCCAATCGAATATGTTGCTGAAAATTGACTATTTGGATATCTGCAAAATTAATCTGAATGTGTTCAAAATGTGGTGCACATATTCTACGTATAGACAAAAATTCTGGAAAATTGAAAGATTATCTAGATAACCTTAAAGGGAGTTGACTAAATATATCCGACACCCTGCTAAAAAAATTGACGTTTTCACTGCCTACTCAACTGTTTAATGCCTTTTTGCACCTTTACCGTATTATAAGCTGATCTTTACATCGTACGGTAAAATAATGAAATTAGACATTTCTCTCAATCAAATAACTAATGTTTTAAATTTACTTGTCCTTATGAATAATATAGTTGCATAAATTTTAATATTTTCACAGAAGACGAACCAAATATTCGTTTTCTATAATTGGAAATAAATAAAGAAACATTTTTAAAATACGTTTTCTCCTTAAAGCTTCATCAAGTTCCATTTACTGATTTTATACTTATTATTTTACTTACAAATGAATCAACAAATCGAGGCTGCCTTTGTTGAATTGTTTTTATGGCGTGGAAAATGTCAAGATCTTTATCCACTAGTATTCTCTGAATGGTTATCGTCATGGCAGCAAATATACCACACCTTGAAGCACCGTCTCTGTTGAAATGGGAAAAATATCATAAAATACAAAATTACTCATTTGAAGTACTGCTCTTTTATCTATATTTTTTCTGGGTTTTTTTTCTGGTCACTATTTTATGCTGCTGTGGACTGAGCTTTTAACTTCTTCTATCACTTCAGTCATAGTGATGATGTCACTCTGTCGTAAATCCTTTTCATATGGAACTTTGTTCAGACGACATTTACTTTACTCCTACCAAACCCCGTTTAATATAACTAGACACTATAAGATCGTAATAAAGTCAAACTGTCTTCGTAAGAAAACTATGTCTGTCAGGAAATGTTCATGAAATGGTCTTATCCGAGACTTCTGTAAAATCAAATTTATTTCAAGTGCATAGTGTTAACAAACGTTTCTAGTTGACCAAAATGATCCGGACCATTACCATATCTTTTTAATCAAACTGTTTCGGTATTTCAACTTGTTTTTTAAGAAGAGTCTATCAAATAACTGAATTCATATATCCACAGGATTGTTTGCGGATTGACTATTCATTTTTTATTCTGTTGCTGCGCATGTTTTTTTTCTCCATGGCTTTGCCGCGCACAAATTTATTTTTACTTTTGTTCATAATTGTTTCCTGCCTTTTGTGTTGCAGAATATTCATTTTCAACAAGTCTAATGCAAGGTTATATATGTTCAGCTCTTAACAGGCCAGGGCACAAATTTATTTTTACTTTTGTTCATAATTGTTTCCTGCCTTTTGTGTTGCAGAATATTCATTTTCAACAAGTCTAATGCAAGGTTATATATGTTCAGCTCTTAACAGGCCAGGGTATGCATTTTCACCCCCCCCCCCCCTCATAAAATCAAATGGTCATCCCTTATTAATTTTTTACCCACACATTTTTCGAACTAAATTGACACATCCACAAAATATATGAATTGCATGCAATTGTATTTGTCAACATACCGGCACACAAGTACTACTGGGAAATCTTGTGTATTTGTTGTTTCAAAATCAATGACACATTCACACAATGATACAAACAGTTCTGTGTTGTCTGGTATAACATCATGTTGTTCTCTGGTACTAATAAACATTTTTATTTTCCTGTCATTTTCTTTGCTCTAGAAAATAAAACACATATGTGAACATATTATGCTTTCAAATGTCAAGATTATAAAAAGAAAATCTCCAATCATGTGGTGAGATATTTCAATACTTTCCTTTTTCTTTTTCTTTTTCATAGTCATATTTTGAACTATGATTATTAACTATATTTATCATTACGTTCATGTTCGTTTTTTTGTAAGTACCTGGTATTGAACATTATAATACTTACACTCATTCGTTAATTCGGCGGTTGCCATTATTGGAACTAGAATTGCTTACCTTTCCGGAGACAGCAAATTCCCCCGGGTTAGTGTATAGGGTTCTTGTTGCTCAATCTTTAGTTTTCTGTGTAGTGTTCTGTGTATTGTTGTTTATGTTTACGTCGTTTTTTTTTGGCAATTCATTGTTTGTTGTTTTTCTCTGACCTATGTTTATTGTCCCCTTGGTATCTTTTAAACTTTTTTCATATAAAATTTACACAATATGTCACTTTTCGTTGATCTCAATATTTAACAGATCATTACAATATTTACTCTATATCCTCTTTCTTTTTTTAGTAGTTAGATAAATCGTATAGATGAAAAAAAATATAATACTCACACTTCCTTGGGGACTTAGAACTACATCAAAATCTGTAATGTTTTCACTCCTAGGAAATTCACGTTCAGAATAAACAACAAAAGATTTAAGTCGCATAAATTCGTTTTCTGGTGGTGTAAAAGTAACATCCTTCAATTCACAAAAAGAAAAAAATATACAAAGGTTAGTCATTCATGCCAAAATTCTTTCTCAAGTTATTTTATTTCTTGGTATTTTTTAATATATTATTAAGTAATCAACTTTGATTATGCCACCATTGAAGTTTTACACATGAACGAACTTTGGTAATATTGGTTTAATTAAGTTGTGATTTTGGTGAAATAATAACTTGAAAATGTTTTTGTAAAAGTTTTTAGTAAAAAGCATTTCCATAATTTGAAATCCTTAATTCAAAATTTCAAATCTGCGCATTTCACTGATTGGTAGGGTTGAATGAGAAAAGGGTAAATTATGACAGGTAATACAGCTAATGATAATCTCAGCAATTTGTTAGTAGATGGTAACATTATATTAAAGTTTGAACTGCTGTATCACACATTTATCAGTGTCCAACTGTTTGTGTATCAACAAATCTTTCTTCAAGAGTGGCTTAAAATCACCTTATTTACTTATTTGAAGTCAATAATCAAGTTGCAAAGGACAATATTTCTTTTATAGGTAAACTGATCAACGTGAAGCTTAGTATACATAACACGGCATTATGACAGAATCTCATTACTTCTAGTTCTTTTGGAAACAAACAGAAGACTATTTACAGAAAAAAAATGTAAACAGAAAAATTATAAAGATACAGAGTTTGCTTGTCATGGCATATTTAAAAGTATCAACCAATCGAATGTGCTCCTAAAAAGAATGCCATAAGCAATTATCTCAAGTTATTTCTGTTGTGAAAAACATAAATACTCCTTGTGGATATAATAATAATAATAATTTCCTTTCATTCAACAATATAATTTATTATACTTCACGTTAAAATGCCATATTTTGATTGGCTAATACGAGGGTGTTAATTTACTCTATTAGCCTTCATGGAGACGCTTGATCAAGTGTGGGCTTTATTAAATACGACTCTATCCTATGGCAAATACTCTATTACCTTTCACGGAGACGCTTGATCAAGTGCGCGCTTTATTAAATACGACTTTATCCTATGGCAAATACTCCATTACCCTTCACGGAGACGCTTGATCAAGTGTGCGCTTTATTAAATACGGATGGTTGTTATGTACAAGACGTCATAGTTTATTACTTTGAATTTGAAATTTGATCGACAGTAATAACAGAACATTCAGTATAATAAATTAAATAACCCATATCTGAGAGGGTGATAGAGCAGATTGTTAACCCTCTCAGCTATGTGTTATTTATATAATATTTAGTTTAAAGACTAGTTTACAATCAGGCACTGCATTATATACATATATTTCAACATAACGTATGATATTCAATAATACAAATTTTTAACTATTATACTGTTATTAGGATTGAACAACATATTCTTCAATATATGTTTTTTAAAGATTCAATTGTGTTACATAGTGTTAACTATGTAGACAAATTGTTCCATAAAATACATCCAGATATAAACAAGGATCGTTTATGGTATTCAGATACAAGTCTAAATTGAAAACAACGTTCAAACCTATATGATTGCGTTGGATAAAAACCGCAATTTTTTTATACGTGTGCATGCAAAACAAATGTCTTGGTAGAGGGATCTAAATACAGCACAAACAACATTTTTCAAAAAACCAAAAGAGTGAAAAAGTATATTTTAACAAAGCGCATTTGACTAGCAGGTCGAACAACTAATGTTCTTAAACCCTGCTGACTGCCTTTGACGATTGCCAAATAAACGGATCACAGATGTAACAAAATGGATCTTAATTATAAATTTATTACCAAACATAAAACAACAAACTTGTGGAAAAGATGGTACACCGCAAACATGATGTGCAAAAATTTGTACACCATATCCGGATTTCGACAATATACATTGAGATTCCGGAGTTATTTGGTGAAGTACTTTAAAAACTAAAATGGTCTTTCTGTATAAAAAATAATCTGGAATGGGCATCCATCGCAGATCTTCAAAAATTTTGGTCGACGATGTGATAATATGACGCTCATTTGAAAAAAAAATCGTTCTGCCCTTTCTTGAATCTTAAATTTCTATGAATATAAGCAACATTGTTCGCACCTGACCAAATGGTACACAATAAATGAAATGTGAAAAAAAAATACAGTTGTATACTGATAAAGGGAAGGAATAACAAAATATTTCAAAATGATCCTTTTTTCCGGTAGTCGCTTGTATGATTGATAAAAAAAAACTCACATTTGGTATTTTATCTAGCACTATTACACAGCCACAATCGTGATCGTAAATCATACTCCAGAAATCTTCTACAGTATCTGGTAGAGGTATTTGTGTTGTTATATAACCTGTTAAATCTCTGTATGACTGTAAAACAGAATTATTCAATTTATTTTCCACAGAATATTTGATGTCTGAAAGAACTACAAATGTACTTTTGTCTCCTGCATATAATAACTAAAAAGCTAAATAATGAAATAGACAAAATGGATCATCGATACGATGAAATAAGGTTTGCAGCTCTTATCGTAACTGTATTCAATACAAGCTTGTATGTTGCATAAGAAATGAGGTATGCAGTGGTCAATACATATTTGTACCTTTTAAATTACACAGTATTCAATAAAGTTTTTACGATCACCTTTCATAATTGGTTATTTGTGTCTCAACTCAATAGCAACATGTTTTTACGGTCTTAGGTCTTTAGATATCAAAATAGTCGTCTGATCTGTAATCGTATCGACTGTGTCCTATTCTCGATTCTGGCGTGGTTCGCATTCGCACGGCTGGTGATTTATGACTAGCAGGAGATAATAACCCTGTTGACGCATCCGGTCTCGCCCCTTTTAAAGTTCAAGCAATTTCCTCAGTTTTTGTTTGATTTGTTTCTTCATGATCGATTTATGAGATTTGAACATCAGTAAATTACTGTTTCCTAAATTGTTCAAATAAATATCGAAATTAGTAAACAAAATTTAAAGAACAATTGATCACTTCAAAAAATATTCTTATTTCTATAAACACGAGTTTGCTTTTATTGTGGAGGAAATATGTTATTATTAAATGTCAGTGTGTTCTGGTTTTGCGGTACGATTTCCTAGAATCAAACCTTAGAGGGTAGTATAAACATCGAACCAAGAGTTTTTTGGGTTTTTTTTTTGTGGTTATGGTGTTTTCTGTTTTTCAACTTTTACTTTTTGATTGCAGTCTTCCTCATTTTATAATGACATATATGTTAAATGTTGTCAGAATATATAAAGTTTCAAATGTTATATTTAATAAGATAAGATAACATACCAAGGGTAGTCAAAGAAATCAGGCAACAACATGACCAAACAACAACCAAATGACAAATTACATTCTAAAAACCACTACAACGCCTTTAACAGATGGGTATGGTTTGCCTTAAATTGTATACCAAAACATTTTAACCACTTACTGGGACAGTGATTGCGTTGATATAGTCTGTTCTTGGTGGAGCATATGTATTGAGGTAGGTACGATATCTATTGTCTACAAAAAGTAAATATGAATTTTATAACTTTATATGTTATAGATACCTCGGTCAGCCATTCATCATATGTTTTATTAATGTGTTAAATTCCATAGAGAGGAAATAAAAAAAGTTCATCATTTTCATCACAAATGTGTATTTTAATATTGTCCTTTTCTTCAAGTCTAGATAATCACACATTAAAGGAGATGCAGAGTAGACATCAATCAGACAATTTTAAGTCAGTCTTGCTGGTTATGTCCGCTAAAAGTAAAATAACAAAAATACCGAACTCCAAGGAAAATTCAAAACGAAAAGTCCTTGTCAAATGGCAAAATCAAAAGCTCATACACATCAAACGAATGGAAAACAACTGTCATATTCCTGACTTGGTACATGCATTTCCTTATGTAGAACATTGCGGATTTAACCTAGTTCTATAGTTAGCTAAACCTCTCAACACACAATAGACATGCAGTGTTGTTGAAAAGGGTGGATCAAGCATCTCGAAACATACTTTAATGTTTAAAAGGTATTAGAATTGTCAATGCAATTTAAATTAATTTGATTATTTCATTCAATGGTTTAATGTTTTGTACATTGTTTGAAATCTTCTGGTAACAACATTTTAGCAGCACCAGGCTGTATCACAGATGACCAAGGATGGGTTCAATTTGTCGTAGCCACAAATTCGACTTCTTTTAAATGAATATTCCATTGCCGAAAGTAACTTAACACCAGCTTTTTACTTGCCACTAACAACACAATAGATGCCACTAGTGGAGCAAGAAATGCTAAATCTTAGGGGAAAACGAGAAGAAACCCTTTCTTGCTAAGGTTTTTGGTAGCTCACGATTAAGTATTCTGAATTTCATGAGCTACCCTCTCTGATCAATTCATTCACTTTAGGAACTTTTTTGGATCGCTGTAATTTAGAACTTGACGTACATGTCATTAAAATTGTTTTAATGTAGTGTTGGAGTAATTTAGAACTTGAAAAACAATCATATATGTCATGATATTTTTTTTATCTAGGGTCAGAGTATATATGTCATGGTCATATGTCTATCATTTATAACAGTATGTTACCCATAGTTGTGTTTCAAGTATTTACGTATCACATATATTTACATAACGAAAACTAAATGTTTTTCTCACAACATACGTGCAATTATTTCCTTGTTCCGGTTTTTACACTCGTTTTTCTCCGACAGTGCATCAGTATAGCAATTATCATCATACACAGGCTTTTTGGCTTTCAAATGCTGAAAACATATCGAAAAAAATATTAAATGAACACCTTTCATTCTGTCAAACATATTTTAATGCAAGCTGCTTTCACAGTCTGTTAAGAATTTGATAATGTATTCACCCACTTATTGCACGTTCTTGAAATATAACTTTGTCTATAGATGGATGCATGCAGAACGTACATGAAAATTTAAGTTATTAATACATATCATGTTATTTATGATATTAAAATTGAGAATGGAAATGGGGAATGTGTCAAAGAGACAACAACCCGACCACAGAACAGACAACAGCAGAAGGCCACCAACAGGTCTTCAATGCAGCGAGAAATTCCCGCACCCGGAGGCGTCCTTCAGCTGGCCCCTAAACAAATATATATACTAGTTCAGTGATAATGAACGCCATACTAAACTCCAAATTGTACACAAGAAACTAAAATTAAAAATAATACAAGACTAACAAAGGCTAGAGGCTCCTGACTTGGGACAGGCGCAAAAATGCGGCGGGGTTAAACATGTTTATGAGATCTCAACCCTCCCCCTATACCTCTAGCCAATGTAGAAAAGTAAACGCATAACAATACGCACATTAAAATTCAGTTCAAGAGAAGTCCGAGTCTGATGTCAGAAGATTTAACCAAAGAAAATAAACAAAATGACCAAATACATAAATAACAACAGACTACTAGCAGTTAACTGACATGCCAGCTCCAGACTTCAATTAAACTGATTGAAAGATTATGTCTTCATCATATGAATATCAGGCACAATCCTTCCCTTAGGGGTTTAGTATCATACCATCATAACATATATGAGAAGAACATAACCCGTGTCATGCCAACAGCTGGTTTTTAAATAAATGTGTTAAGTGCCGATGCAAAGACCCTATAAGTGAATCAATATTAACGCCAAAATATGCAATCTTTAATGACCTGACAACAGTATCGTAACTATATCCCTTCTTAATAAGTCTATTTAAAGGTTTTGTTAGTTTCAGAGGTGAATACTGACATTTTTGTGCTTTATAAAGAATATTTCCATAAAAAATTGGATGTGAAATACCTGAACGTATAAGAAGTCTGCATGTTGGGCCTGTATTTACGAATGATGTCCTTATACCGATGATAAAATTTAGTAAATGTTTTAGACTAGTTTGTGATATCGAAAACCCTGGTGTAATAATTTTTCAGTAATACATAAATTTCTCTCGTTAAAATCTAAAACATTGTTACATACACGAGCGAATCGTACAAGTTGAGATATATAAACACCGTAAGATGGTGACAAGGGAACGTCACCATCTAAAAATGGATAATTAACGATAGGAAATAAAAAATCATCTCTTTTATCATATATTTTAGTATTAAGCTTTCCGTTAATGATATAGATATCAAGATCGAGGAAAGGGCAGTGGTCATTGTTAGTATTAGCTTTATTTAAAGTAAGTTCAACAGGATAAATTTCTTTAGTATACATACTGAAGTCGTCATTATTGAGAGCCAAAATATCATCCAAATATCTAAAAGTATTATTAAATTTGTGTATCAGATGTTGTTTCGATGGGTCTTTACTGATTTTTGTCATAAATTGTAACTCATAGCAATACAAAAAAAGGTCCGCAATAAGTGGTGCACAGTTAGTCCCCATTGGAATTCCGATAACCTGACGATATACGGAATCTCCAAAGCGAACAAAAATGTTATCTAGTAAAAATTCAAGGGCATATATAGTATCAAAGCATGTCCAATTGACATAGTTTTTTTGTTTATTGCTACTAAAAAATGACCTAAAAGAGTTTGAACATATATATTCACATTCTGACTTTTTAAATGCCCATTTAATTAGGTGTGTGAACTTTTTCTTAATGAGAATGTGAGGCAATGTGGTATATAGGGTAGAAAAATCTAAACTTTGAACAGATTCAAAATCACCAATATATGCATGCAATTTATCAAGTACTTCCAACGAGTTCTTGACACTCCAAAAGTAATTAATTCCACTATTTTCGAAGGCCTTATTTGAACAATTTATTATCAGGTTTTTGATTGTACCAAGTGTACTGGTAAGAAGAATAGACAATTTAGTAGTGGAACAATGGCTTGAAGACGAAATGAATCTATATTTGTAAGGTGTTTTGTGTAGCTTCGGAAGCCAATACATAGTTGGGACTTTCATTGTATTTGGTTCTGCTTGTAAAGCGGTAGCTAAAAGTTTATGTTTGTTACAGATGTCGTTTTCTGAAAATGGAGTCAGTTGGAATGTTGGTGAATTGGTGATTTCTTTTTTCAGAACCTCAATGTAAAATTTACGTCAAACAATAATAATATTATTAGCAGCTTTATCGGCCGGGACAAAAACAAATTCCTTGGCTAGTTCTTTTAGTTTATGTTTGATACGAGAAATAGGTTTATTGTGGTTATTGTTAAGAGTAAAATGTTCTTTAAAATGTTGAATACGTATATCAACTATGTTCATTACTGATTTAAAAAAAGAGTCCAAAGATTTTTTGTCAGCTTTTTCCCGTTTTATCCATTTCAAACAGTAAGTATGGAGTGAGTCGTGGATGATATTACGACACTCATTCCAATTAATAATTGACGGGGGACGATATTTAGGTCCTTTACTGAGGAATGATTTTAACTCTCGGTCTTGAACGATGTTAAGATCTCCTGTTATAACATGGGAAATGGGTCCATAAATGTATTCGGAATTACTGCAATTACATGAAGTAGGTGTATTTTCACTGATATTAACATCTTTACACAATTGGCTATAATTAAACACAAATTTCCGGGTAGATTTCTTGTAAATATAACAAATAAGAGGGAGCTCAGTATTATCAAAATATCCCGGAATTTGCTCTTTAACAGAATGGTCGTTAAAAATACCGGCAATATTTACAAAATCAAAACCTTTATTGACATACTTTATTTTAATAAACTGTTTTTTATGATCTTCAGGGCGATCAATTTTGGGAAACAGTTTAGAATAACAATATGCCATTATAATTTGAACGATTTCATACTTAGGACTGCTATATAAAATTGTGTTGCAATCCTCTAAAATTTTATTTAACTTATTAACCGGTAATGAACAGAGCTTTGTTAACAGATAATGTCTGCCGTTGTTTTTTGAAATAGAAATTAGGTCCGAAATATTGGTATGATTGGTCCGAAATTTTCTTTGATTGCGATTTTTTCTACGACCATGAGAACGGTTTTTACGAACAGTTTTAGAAACTATATCCAAAATGTTAACAGAATCGGTTCTTGATATATTACCAATTCCCATGATATTATCATTAAGACCGAGAGGGTAGACTGTCTGTAATTTTTTAATCCAATTTAATTCAATTATTTTCCGCGATCGTACAAACTTTGAATGAGATTCACCAGTATAGATATTGCACACAAGCAATGGATTCCTCATAAAAATAAATCCTTAAAATCAAACAAATTTTGCATTCCACAATAATATAATTGTCCAATTGTTTGGGAAGTTTGCACATTGCTTTCAGTATGTTATATACCTGAACATCTTATAAAATCAGATAATTGCGTATATAATGTCTACAAGTTGGACTTGATCAATTGATGAAGTTGTTCTTATATCATGTTAAAATAATAGGGGACAATACTTAAAAAGCATTCGCAGCTTGATGAGAAGAATGGCCACATTTGCTTAAGGTGTTTCCTTGCAACAATAATCATTCTTAAATATCTTTGATAACTTTTATCTTGAAAACATTATTACCTCATACTGATTCCACAGTTTAGTTTGATTCATAGGACTGTCACAGGAAAATAATGCCTGTCTAATTTCAGAAAAGTCTTCACGGAAATATGTTGTTTCTGGGTAAGTTAGAGCCTCTAATAAAGCCTCGTGCAGAAATATATATTGTTCCTGAATAGCAATGTAATAAAATCTATAGATAAATGCGTTTAATTGTATTCATATATTAACATTGCATGTTCTATTTTTTTTTAAGAAATTGAGTGATCAAAAACATGGTTAACGCCATATAATTCTTTATGTGCTTGTCCAAAGTCAGGATCCTGTCTACCATATTTGTTTCTCGTTTATTGTGTTTGATTTAATCAGGATGTTGTTATTACATTTGATGTTTTGCCGAGGTCTTTTATGGCCTGCTGTACGGCATGGTTTTTGCTAATTGATGAAGTTGTTTGCATCCTAATCCTTTGATAACATTCTGTGACGAAAAAAAAACAAACAAAATCACATAAATCTTTTAAGTTTTTGATAGATTCCCTATAACCAACTCATGCCCACAAAAGTGGTTTTCCAACTGTTTCAACTCTGTGTCTAATGTACTGCATCTTTTTGTGTTATTGTTCATAAATTTCTGTTCCATGAATCGAAGAATGTTACAGGTAGCGTAGAATAGTATAGCAAATGTCGAGGCCATATGTTACTCTGCGTAAGATCCTTCGGACATTGTTTGATATCCTCTTATTTAAATATATTTATTCATTAATCGTTTTTTCCCATCTTATTTTTTTTTCTTAAGTCATTTTACACATTGCATTTTCAATCAACAAAGAAAAGGTTACATATTGGCACATTTAAATTTTTAAAAAAAAGTTTGATTGTACTTTCATATTTCTGTCTTCATGTTTTACCCAATTTCTCCTTATCAAAACTTACAGGAGTTTGTATCATGTTAATTCGTCCTTGTCTCATCAACTTTGCATATTGAAACACGTCTAAACAACCAGTTTTTCTACCGTGGATTGTTAACTCGTGTAAACCAATAAACGTCCCCGTCCTTCCTATTCCAGCACTAAAACACATTGTACATTACATTATTTCATGACTTTCTTTTTCTATCTATTTTTTATTTTATTAAGGGGGGGGGGGGGAGTAACTAACTTATTACAAAACTTTGAATTTTTCAAAATACTAAGGATTTTTACCACAGAAATAGATTACCTTAGCTGTATTTGCAAAACCTTTCGGAATTGCTACTCGATGCTCTTCAACTTCGTACTTTACTTGGCCCATTTTAACTTTTTTGATTCGAGCGTCACTGATAAATCTTTTGTAGAAGAAACGCGCGTCTGGCGTACAAAATTGTAATCCTGGTATCCATTATGAGTTTATTAATAACTAGTTATTGCAATTACTTGTTCATAATTAAACTATTTTATTCTAAGATTGTAAAGCAAAATGATGAACTTTGGTATCAAGCTTGATCGTGTGTCGGGATTTCTTTGTCTGTTAATAGGGAGGAGCGGGGAATCAAAACTCATAGGTTGAAAAAAAGACAATAGTACTATGACCAAACGAAAAACGCCGTTAAAAAACAGTCCACAGAACACCAAGTTCATTTAAAGTGAAAACTGTTAGATTGATCAGCTTTCTACTTTTCCGAATAATTTATGAATTTTAAACAAATTACCAATACAACAGATAGATATGAAAATGAGATGTGAACCTAGACCACTTTTTAATTAACAATACTGTTACATAAATTATGTTTAATTATACACGTGATTCTGTGGTATTCCTCTAAGTAAGTTTATAGCTGAACAACAAAACAAATATGGCAGAGAGAAAATAAAGAGGAAAAACAAAAGGTTCAAAGTTAACTTTGTTAATTAAATAAACACTTTATAAATTTCGTGCGTTCGCAGCACTTTTTTTATTTACCTTCATTAGGAACGTCCAAACTTAAACATTTGAAAGATAGGGATGCGTAAATACACTGCAACGTTAAGAGCTATATGACCAAAAACGACCAATAAACGGACGAGTCAACTTTGCCTGAGAGAGTTGGTTCCTCATTTTCTTAATAATTAATTAATTTATGAACGAGGACTTTTAAATAAGTATTTTTTTATATTTTATAAAACATTTCAGTTTCAAAGCATTGACTACTGTGCTGATAATACCACCACAGACTAACAGTCCTCCAGCAGCGGTATCGACCCAGTGCTAGTAAATGGAATAAACACTTTATAAATTGCATACGTCCGAAGTGCTTTTTTTGATTTACTGTCATCACGTATGCTCAAACCTATAGATTGGAAAGCCAGGGATGCGAAAAAACGCTGCATAGGTAGGAGCATATCACCAAAAACAAACTAAAAAGACTTGCAACATACATTACGTGAAGTTATAGATAAGTATATGTTATAAATCATGTCAATACAAAACATTGCATACTAATCTGATTATATCCTCGGAAACTTAACACTTCATCAGCAGAGATATCGTCTTAGTGCTAAGAAATGAAGTGAACATTTTATAAATCTCGGGCGTCCGCAGCATTTTTTTCCTTGGTATTCCTTCATCAGGAACGCTAAAACCTAAACATTTGAAAGACAGGGATGCGTAAATACGCTGCAACGTTAGGAGCTATATGATTAAAAAACAGACTAGCCAAATTCGTCTTAGGTCAACTTTGCTGAGGGAATTGGAACCTTAGTTTCATAATGATTTCTTAGTTTTGAACGGGAAATTATAAATTATAAAGTGTAATAAGCATGTCAATACCGTAGCACCTGCAACTGCTGAACTGATTATAACCTGGGGGATTAACAGTCCGTCAGCAGCGGAATAGATTCTAAGCTAGTAAATTTTAAAAAAAAACACTTTATCAATTTTGGATTTACCTTCATCAGGAACGGTTAAACCTAAACATTTGAAAGAAACTTATCATATGAAATATTAATCCTCAAAGAAATTTCCAAAGAGAAAATTTGCCACAGCAAAAATCACCATGTTGGACCTTTAAACATTACAATTTAGACTGTACAATACTTTGTAATACAAATGTGTTCTCTTAATTCATGCATTGTTCTAATCTTCAGTAAGTCATGCAGTTACACTGGTGTTTATGCTAATTGTAATCCAAGTCAAGGAAATGCACAAAGAACAAAAAAAAATTTATTTGTGGATCTGCGGTATGATTTTAGTTTTTTTTTTTTAAACTACTTTTTTCGAGTTGAAAACTCGTTACATCGACCAACAATTCTAATTTTCTTAATGCACCCTTTTTGAAAACCCAACAGCACTCGATCCTGAAACCGCTGGGGGGTATTTAGCAGCCCCCATAAAGCCCGTGCTGCCAAGTTGGTCTCATTATAATTAACAAGCTACGCTACTGCATTAATTATTCTTAAAGATGATCATAAATGTATCGTATTTGCAAGTGGTAGTTAATTGCCCCAAAACACTCCAGAATATATGTTTGATATTTTTAAAAACAATTGACACTATACAGTACCTTTTTTTTTTACTTTGTTTATTTTAATTTACGCCCGTAGTCTTGTTTGCCAACGTTTTTTTTTTTTAAACAACCATTATTATCCACGGATGTAGCAATACCCAATATATATCGTTTACCTATTTTGTTACTGCTTTTATCCTTTTATTCTATCTAAGTTGATCAACTGAAGCATTATATATTAATTGGAAACTAGACATCCAATAAGAATGGATGTGCTGAGTTTAAAACCAATTTGGCGTGTGGCTTCAAAAAAAAATGAAAAAGTAAGAAAGAGTCCAACAAGCCCTACAAATCCTTTGAACGGAATCAAGATGCAATATCTCCTGATTTGCATTTCATTTTTATTTCAATAAGCAACACAAATCATCACATAATTAATTATGATGAAAGGCACACTAAATTACACCAAGTAATTTATTTACAACCTCCTCGATTACACTTACTATCAATTAAGAAAGTGTTGTCAAGGATTAAGAGGACCGTTCGATGTTGAAACAATTCAAATTTTAAATAAGACAGATATAGAACAAAAAATTGAAAATATGTAACTTAACTGTATGCAACGAAACTTCTTCTAACATAAAATTCATACAGATGTAATATAAATCAAAAGAACTATTTATTTCTACTTATTGGTTAGCATATTACAAAGTACCTGCAGTGAACCAGTAATGGTCCGGAGTTTGTATTACGAAGTTGTACTCTGCTATTGAAGTGAACCAGTTGTGATGGATCAGGTGTACCATGGTCAGGCCACCGGGTAAAATGGTACTGGTGTATTGTTCTTTCCTTTTCACTCTAAATTGAAATAATTTTCATAACTGACCTTATATGTGTTGTGAAAAAAAATCTATGTTTTATAATTTCTTGGCAAAGATAATACATGCGTACAAATTATCTGTTAAAATTTACGACGTCTTTAAAGTATAATTTATATTTGCTGTTAGTAAAGAAACCGTATAATGCATATATATTTGGCGATAAAATATTTTTCAAATTTTTTATCACTCGTTTCAAACAAAAATACTCATCTCCCTTTAAAAAAGAAAACTCAACTTGAAAGAACTCAAATGTATATCAAGTGTAATAGCACGTTTTAAATCCATGATACTGATATCTTACAAATACGATACAGATTTTGCTTCTCTGGACGCCTCTATTCTGTGTTCCCAAATATTTACATTCGAGCGAAACAAACGAGTCTGATGAAAACGATATGTTCGTCAGGCGTAATACATTTTACGATTTGTATCTTTGACGAGTTTTTCTTTCAGTGCGTTTACTGTGCGGATATTTTTTTTTTCATCAATTACCACCAAAATATAAACATTCTTTATCAGAAAAAGACATAATCAGAAATACATTCAACATGCATCATATTACCTTTTTATTCGATATTGTTAGTTCTCTAATAGTAAAAGCAGCGTATTTAGTCTCCTTGTTGTTTTTGACACATAGAGGACCGTGTGTCAAATGATCATCTGTATCCGGCCAGTATTTTTCACATTTTGTCTAAAACAAAACACAGAATCTGTATGAAAATAAGAAGATGCGGTATGATTGCCAATGAGACAACTCTCAACAAGAGACCAAATGACACAAATAAACAACTATAGGTCACCATACGGCCTTCAACAATGAGATAAGCCCATACAGCATAGTCAGCTATAAAAGGCTCCTACTTGGGACAGGGATGTTTTATAAGTGTAAATATATACATAGACCTATTTCGTACAAATGTAATTTCTCAGTTACCCTTGTGCATGTTTATATTGCTATGACTGAATATTTCAGGGAGGGAATACATATTTAATAGTAATTCCCAATACGACTTTCTAAAATTGGAAAACAAATTAAAAACCTTTTCGTATTAAAATTCATTATTCATTTCATAATATGATGATATACACAAGAGATCTTTTTACTTTCTGTACAAAAATAATCAAACTGACAGGTTGTTAAATAAACTAACTTTTGCACCTTCAACCAGATTGGTTACCATTACAATCTTTTCGATTTTGCCTTTCCAAATCATACGCCAGAAGTCTGACACCGTTGATTTCTTAGGACCTTTAGGTGAATAAAGAATTCATATGTTAGCTTGAATCAACTGCAAATTGATAAAAGACAGTTCAGAAAAATTATCAAACGTCTTCAAAAGAAATCTTCTTAGTCATTTTAAAAACAAATTTATTTCCTGATTTCATTAGTACATTAAGATTATAAATAAACAATCTAAGTAATTAAAAATCAGCAAAGCAGAATTTAGCATATTTTCAATGACTATTTTTTACAAATAAACTTATTTCCAACGATAACCATACATATGAACCTACCTTGTGATGCGATGTACGATTTTTCTTTATCGAGACCCTAAAATGAAATACCAAAACAGCATATCACCGTGAAAAGTCATATATGTTTTTATTGTGTCTCTTTCATGAGCATACATGTATTTGATTCACCATGTATGAACAGTTATATTCTTTACCGATAAATTGTACATTGCAAAACAATTCAGAACACGACAATAAAGTATTGACTGTAGCATAAATTACTACGACACTAGATATCGTTGTTCAAATCTCGTTAAAAGTTAAGAAACACACATCAATGTAACCAACAAAAAAAACCCGAGAGAATCGCATGAACGCCAATTGGAATGAGAACGGGTTTGCCGATAGGGTAAGCGTCTCTTGTTATACATGCATCACCCGCATAAAATTTTGATCTTCATACGGTGATTATGTCAGTAAATGTACTACTTAGATTTAAACTCAAGCTCGTTATGCAAAATGAAATTGTACCCTTACAGAACTTACATGTTTGCTGCAGATCTACAGCAGACCTGCTGCAGGTTTGCTGCAAACAAAGAAGTTTGAAGGAAACCATGAAATAATGTTTACAGATGTTTGCAGCTAGCTAGCTGCAAACCTCCTGCAAACATTACAGCTTTTTTGGTGCAAGCTTGCGGCAAGTTTGCAGAAACAATTATGAGAAAATTGAGAATATAAGGGATGTTTGCAACTAGATTGCAGAAATCTTTGACAATTTTATATGTTTGCAAAAGCATTGCAAGAATTATATAAAATGACTGAGCACGCCTATTGGTAACTTCCTGGAAAATAAAGATTTTAAATTTGGTTCTAAATTATGTTGATGGTGTTTGAGTCATGTAATATATTACATTGTAACATATGTTATATTTGTGTTCATGGAGCCATTTAAGGTTGAATATTTAATGTTTAGATTTCATTATTTGAAAGTACAAATTACTCAGAGAACTGTAAACTTATGAAACTGAAATATTAATTATCACCTCCACAAATACTTTAAAGTTTGACGAAAACGTCCAAACATGTTAAAAATATACAGTACTATCTTATCTGTGTGGAGATTGTAACTTATTAAATATTAGTTTCGATAAGTCATGTTGAATTTTGTAATGAAATTGACTTAGCTACCTGATTGCACAAAATTCATTTCAAATATGATTTATTAAATCCTCCTTTTGTATTTTTAAATATTCAATACATTTGAGCACTTCAACAAATAAAACAAACTATTATTTCTTAAAGGGTACTTACTAATGCTAAGTATTTTGCAAATGAGGAAGTATTTGAAATATTGTATGTATATGTAACCTAATTTTTATAGAATTTGCTGTGTAATTTGAATAATGTGATGTGTAGACAACACGATATTGATAAATTAATAATTTGCGTATTTCCTGCAGGTGTGCATCAAACACACAGGAGGAATATTAAGTTGCATATTAATGTCTGCCGCAGGTCTGCAGCAAACATTCGTTTGCATATAAATATTTGCTGCAGGTCTGCAGCAAACACTCATTTCCATATAAATGTTTGCTGCAAGTCTGCAGTAAATACTCATTTGCATTGTAAATCGTTTGCGGCAGACTTGCAGCACATTTGCGGCAACAATTTACTTAGATTCTGTGTTTGCTGCAAGTCTGCAGGCAGTAAAAAGTAATAAGTAGAAGAAAAACAGACAATACCATAATCAGATAAGAAAACCCCGAAATTACAAACAAGTCTATCAAACACTTCACAGAAAACTAAAGACTGAGTAAAACGAATCCATCTGAAACCAGGGTGCTCCCAGGTGCTCAGGAAGGGTAGACAGATCCTGCACCACTATTAGCACCCGTATGTTGACCTTTATTTGACGATTTGGTTAATTTGATTGTACAGTAACTGTCTCCATTCATTTTGTTTTGTTTTGTTCATGTTTTAACATCTGGGATCAACCCCGGTATTTTGGTGGGGTTCGTGTTGCTCAGTCTTTGGTTTTCTATGTTGTGTTTTATTTACTGTTGTTTGCCTTTTGGTCGTTTTTTGTTTTTCCCATTGCATTGTCAGTTTGTTTTCGACTAATGAGTTTGAATTTCTCTTTGGTATCTTTAGCCTCAAGGTAATATTGTCAAATGACACTGTATTTAACTGATTTTTCCTTGTGAGTAACTAAGGTATTTATCATTTAACATAAGACATTATTCAATTCAAATAGGTCATTATGTTATATCTAAGGCGTACTTACATCAATATAGCTGGCATTTATATAGTCAGAATTTTCCACACCTTTAATTGCAGGAAGGATAACTCTATTTTTATCATCTGTTAAACAAATATGTAATCCATTAATCATCTGCATCAATAAATTTAGGCATGAGTAGTTTACCGATGTACAAAGCTCATAAATCGATTAAGAAGATACAAATAAGGGCTACAAACACAACATAAAATATCGCATACACTTCAAAAGGAGCAGGATTGGGTGTGTCGACAGGGTAAGCGTCTCATGCTATGTCTGCTAAGCATACATCACCCGCCTTGTGAATCCACACTCGGTCAAAATTGTACAATATGGAATAAGACATAATCGAGAATATGACACAATCTGTAAAATAACAGATCGCACGACTTTTCTTGTATCTAAATATTTAAGACTGCAAAAAACATATGGCTAGTGATTTGAGACACAGACACATCGTATCGGTCAATAAATTCGTGATGATGACCGTAAAACGTTCGAAGTGTCCATTTTGGTCGCTTTTCATCATAGCTCTGTTGGAAAAAGTTTATGTGTTAGGAGCAGTTTAAATTGACGTATACAATGAATTATTGATATAACACGATAGAAAAAACTTCTGGAACCCAGTATAAAACAATGCACTAACATTTTACTATGGAAATTGTTAAATACAGCGTACTTCTGCTGTTAGGTTGCTATCAAATTTACAAAAAAGTATAAATTTTTCTTCTATTAAAATTTATTAATGAGACAACTTACATGGGAATGTTGCTAAAAATCTGTTTTTGGTTTTATTGCTTGGATGCTTTCCATCTTCGTGGGGAAACTGATGACCAGCTGGAAGTTGCTGGAAAGACAAACATAATGATTAAAGCCATGACAAAAATTATAAATAAAAAATTATAAATTATATATCAATAAAACAATAAATATATTTTTACTATTAAATAACAAAATCTTTGACATCTCTGTATATGCTTTTTAGTATTACAATAGAGACGAGAAAATATGTCACTCATGAGCAATAATTGAAAGAAAGATGGATACGAGATATTTCTAACAGGTAAAAACTGATCCAATATAACAGGGACTCACCAGTGGCGCTCAAATCAAATCATTTGGTGAGCCAAATCAATTACAAAGTTGAAAAGCATTGCAAACCAAAAATTCTATAAAAATGAGACATATCTGGTAGAGTCAATCTATGCATACGTGCTGAAAACCATAAGGGTTTTGAATTAATTTTTTTTTCTAAATACTTTTTCAAACAAATGTTATGTCAATGATATTGTATGTCAGGACTTGTGCCGACTACTCTACTGGTGAAACCAACGGGGACGAAACATCCACCAACAGTGGTATTCATTAAGTGGTTGTATAAAGATGTTATTTATCTTGTATTGATAAATTTTGCTTAAGTGTTGTTTGTTCTTTTTTCGGCGTAGGATTTTGATTGTTCATTTAGTATATTCTTATTTTTTTCATTGTTATTCTAAATGCGTCCAGTCCCTTGGCTTGATATAACATGACACTTAGTTCAAGTGATACTCTTTTGATTTACTTCGATACTGAAATAAAAGAGACTATGACAACACAAGCTTACATTGTATTCTTCAGTAAATATTTGTTTGTTTTTATTTTTAATCACTTCAGCCATTTCGTCAACTTCTATCTTAGTATTTGTACAAATATCTTCCCCTTCATCATTTGAATAAATAACCTCATCTGAAATTGAACAAATGGTATCATTGAATATGAACATTTCATAATTCAACTGTCTCGAGTGGAGAAATTTAGTTTCTCAATCGATGCAGTGGCAGATTCTATATAAAACGAATCGTGCTTATAATACTATTCATTTTCAAACTCATATTACTAAAAGCATAAGAGGAAAGCTCGTAGCCTAGTATATTCAAAAGCATTAAGCGTGGAATTCACTTTGCATTTCTTTAATTCGTTTTTGACCATTTTTTCCCGCAGTCCGTCATATTGATATACAGTGAGAAATGTGTCATGCATATTTAGGATAAAACACATTGATCAATTAATCAACTGTATTTGGTTCTACACAGCCCGCTTTATTTGATAAAGTAGCAACATTCGCTGAAGCATAATTATTTTATTTCAAAACTGAAAATTAGAAGTTTAGACGCACAGTAAGTTATATAGAAATATTGCCCTGTATCGACTCTTGGGTTACTACAATGCGAAATATTGTACCCTCAGGGACTGACAGGAATATTAAACAAGTGGTAAATATATAAAAGTTATCTTTTGATTTCAGTGCGTATATCCGGGATAGCTCGAGTTGAGAAGGTAAATGATCAAAATTTCTGGGTGCATTATCAAAGACGTTTTCTGTTAAATAAAATAAAAACTTTGCTTTTCTGTGGACAGTTATAGTTAACTTAAACGCTTTTTTTTTACCTGGTGTGAAAGCTATATTATTTTGGAGGTCATTGTGTTTTTCTTCTGGGACTATTGTTTGGGACGTGTTGTAATATATTGCTTCATTTGTATTCTGTGCATTTGAGTTTCTGCTCTGGTCATCATTGTCTCCTCTGGAATCTACGAACGATTTACTGTATTTAAAACTTTGTCTTGTTGCTATTTTTCTTCTGAAATGGTCAATTCATTTGCATCTTTAAGTTTAAAAGTTACAGGAAGAAATAATGAACATCAATATTGCAAAAAGTGGGGAATAGCCATATTTGTTTCACTCAGACCGTCATATTTTTCTCCAAAGTTTCGTAGGTTTTAATCAAATCAGAATGTTTTTCCCCGCGCTATACATTGTTGTTGCAAAAATACTTCGACCCAATAGTACAAATGTTACATGATTTTATAATTATATTTTCATAAAAAAAAACCATCAGAAACCAACGTCAACTGATGTGTATCAGTAAGACAAAACATACGTGTCAATAAAATGTTATTTTTGAATCTGTATTTCAAATTTTAACGAAATCATATCTTATAGTGTTCAGATATATTGTTATTAGTTATACAAACATGACGCTGTGATACTTTAAATCAAATAAAGATTGAAAAACTTTTTAAAATGATCAAGGCAATAATAAACTCTTTGAAAAATGGCTCTTCTTCTTTCACAGCGATATTACGAATATATGTCAAACTGCTCGTCTAGACAAATAAATAAAGGCAACAGTAGTACAACAAAAGCAAACGAGACTTTCAAATATATAAAACAAATAATGGTCATAACTGCAGACATCTCAAAATACTATTAAAGGTGGAAAATTTGCATTTCAAAATAGAGATGTAAATTAACCAGCATCCAAACGAACAAAAAAATAAGACCAGGAAAATAAATACACCCTGTCTTTAATGACAGACATGAGTCAAACCCTACTGATATTGAGAGTCTTCTTAAACACATGGATCAATATAAACATGCATATAAAACCTTGAAAGTACTCAATAAAAAAGTTACGATCTTATGGATCCTAGGTGATAATTATTATTCTGTCTATTGATGTAATGTGTTTACGAAAGGATATATCAATATGTAAATCTGATATTTGTTTCTTTCAAAACATATTGAATTAAAACTAAACAATGATAATAATTGTCTACCTTTTTATATAAATTACGATCAGGCCTGTAGCTAGGCACAATAAAAGTAATATCACTATAACGGCTGTCACTGTTGAAGACCCAGCAGAATCGCTTGTTAGTGCTGAAATAGAAAATGCACATCTCATAACCTAGAAATGACGTATAAAATCGTGATGTGGATTCTTTGTAAACAATCAGATACACCAAAAAAGTAGAAATCCACGGAGGATTATAAATTTTTCAGTTAACTATTGAAATAGCTGACGTATTTCAAATACACAACTCTGGATAAGGCTGTTTGTTCTTCTTTTTTTTTTTTTAATATTTCGATTTTTGAGTTACGTATTGTTATTTGTCTTTTTTCTTTTCATCCGGTTCCTGTCTATCTTTTAATATAAATTGAAGTGTGGTAAACATTGCCCTTTGGTATATTTACACATTTCTTTCTTCCTTTCTTTAAACAACACTTACTACGAAGTCACGAGTGAAATTGGAAAGATTTGCTTACCCCGACATGTATTGCCATGCCAACCAGGATCACACTGCCCAGGACAATGTCCATTCCGATGATTACAAATTGTGCCATTATAACAATTTCCGCATTCTTTCGAACAATTAAAACCATGATATCCTGGATCACATGCTGAAATAAAGAATTCAATTAATTTAGTTACAGCAAATATCGAAGTAACGGGTGTTTGAATATCCCCTCGAACACATACATGCGTGTTATACATATGCAATGTTTGCATGAAATAAATCCAGAATGCCCATTTTAAGAAAATAAATCACGTATGACATTAGTTTAGTTATTTTGAGTTTACAAAGAGCAGCTCCAGTAAAAGTCTACGATACGTTAGTATAACGAGAAAAAGCAATGTCGTTGTTCCTTTAAATTCAGAGCATGGCACCATTCTTTATGTAGACTTTGAACATAAAAACGTCTATCCAATTCAACTGTGTATAAATGCCATCCCATTGATCTAAACTTGATCTTCTTCTTGAAACGAAGAGTTGTTCTCCGATAGCATAAATATGATTACATATATTTAATATTTCACGGATTTTTTTTTAATCATTTTAACAACCAGGACCAGTTTACCAATATGTCTCTCTGGAGTCAATCATATCAATGATATATGACGAATTGGGAGTCGAACAGAGCATAATGTGAAACTCAGAAGGCATTTAAGTAAAACATTGAAACATACTGATGAACATTTCAAGGTCCAAGTAAAAATATTTGATTTGCTCATAAGATATACAGATGTAACAGCTATAAGATATACGGATGTAACAGCTATAAGATATACAGATGTAACAGCTATAAGATATACAGATGTAACAGCTATAAGATATACAGATGTAACAGCTATAAGATATACAGATGTAACAGCAATAAGATATACAGATGTAACAGCTCAGTCTGTAAGATGAATAACCACATAATAGAGATTTCCAATAAAATGACTTTACTCGACATAACCGACCTAACTCAACGTATTTCGTCCTATTGCACTGAAGCATGACGGAGGGGAGCATACACTGCATGCATTGTTTGCTCTTTGACCACGCATTTTTTGCTGATATAGACTTAATGTAAAAATCAACCCAACTACTTTTTTTAATCTTTATATATTTTGTTATTAAATTTTGAATGATTTTATTGACAAAAATATGTTAAGGGAATAAGTAAGTTAGCAACTTGTAATCAAATACACCCATCGTTTCTTGTCATTTCACTTGACCCATATTTCAGTTCTTCTCAAAATATGAATTTTAAAAACTTCCAAGTAAATATTTAGCATGACAATATTAAAATAATGAAATCCGAAGCGAGAAGGTTATTTCTTTTTTTTGTTTTTATAAGTTTTAACGTTTAAAAAGTAGATCCAAACACACCCGAATGTAAAAGGTGTACGCGACTAACTTTTGAAAACAATTATTTTTCTATAATTTAATTCAAGATAATTTGACGTGGGAAAAAAATCATATCATTGATACATTTATCAAAGAGTACTTTTTCGTCTTTAACTATAATAATGCATGGGACGAGGTGTTTGTCCATGTATACTTTAACGTGCATTCGCGGATACATGGGTAGAGGGCGTACTCCCCCCTTTTGATCGCCAAATAAATTTTAAAATCTCACGCTTTTCACGTTATCTATACACATTTTTAGTATAAAATCGTCCATTTTTTTTTCGCATCGCTCAGCTCGGCAGTATAAATTCAATTATCGGGAACTACGCCTTCTTTCAAATATCTTGGATCCGGCTATAATCATAAATTGTATAGCACCAAAAAAAAATAAATGATTGTCGTTTGACTTTGATAAATACGTTTTAAAAACAACAATGTTTGAACATTAGACATCTCGCATGATATTTCAAAGTTTCAGACTACATACTGAATTGAATTTTTCCTGGATTTAGAGCTCACTTAACACGAAAATGTGATACTGACGTGTAACCTAATGGACACATATTCTTGTTTCTGATGTTTCTTTTAATATAAATATTTATTTATTTAGTTATATATAATTCCACTTACAAATCATCATGTATCTTTTGTCGATAAATTATCATTACATTTTATAGAAACTACATATAATTTGCTATACAGTTATGTCATACAGACACTCTGTGCTTTTGACATGACAAAAGGTCTTGACTGTTTATGTACTTTTTATACTTAATTTGTGGTATGTACAAAAAAGAAGATGTAGTATGATTGCCAATGAGAAACTCTTCACAAGAGACCAAATGACACAGAAATTAATAACTATAGTCCACCGTACGGCCTTCAGCAATTAGCAAAGCCCATACCGCATAGTCAGCTATAAGAGGCCACAAAATGACAAATGTAAAACAACTAAAACGATAAAACTAACGGCTAATTAATGTACAAAAAAATGAACGAAAGCACAGCAACAAATGATAACCACTGAATTACAGGCTCCTGGCTTGGGACAGGCACACCCATGTATACTGTGGCGGGGTTAAACATGTTAGCGGGCCCACTTACTTGGGACAGTGGTGTAACAGTACGAAATAATTGATTAATATTCTAGACTGGATAATTATTCTGTATTTATTAGTTGTAGTTGTTTTAAGATAGTGTTCAGTAACTGTGAATACTCTAAGTTCGGTTCATGGAGTTTATTTGGAAATACTAGTAATTGCTGTTTTTGTGCTTCGTTTTAGTCGGACGAGTTAACCCCTTTCTTAATTGTGAGTAGACATGATCATTTGATAAACATCTATGATCTCTATTGGCTTTAACTTGGACATTTATAAAAACTATGTAGCAAAGAGATGCATGCGTAAAATAAGTTCTCGACATAAATTGGCTAAACTATCAGAATTAAGCCTCAAGCTATAATACTTACGACGAAGAAACCTCAAGCCATAATACATTCGACGAAGATTTAGCCTCAAGCTATAATACTTATGATGATGATGATAATGATGTATGTCTTATATCCAGCGACAAATATTACATATATATCAAGGATGATGAAATAATGATGATAAATGAATGTACCTTTTTGTACATTACCAACACTTAGAGTCGCATGTTTATATGCTAGGTAACAAGATAGCGTACCCGATACAAAGACACACTTGTCTTTCTTCGATTAAACCAGTGCATGCTCTTACTCGTGAATGCATTATGCTTGGTTAAGAACCATAAAATTTAGTCGTAAAATCATTTGATCTGGGGGTCCAACAAAATAATTGAACCCGTAATCGAGGCTAGCCTGCTACATGTACCAGTCAATCCCATATTTAATAAAAAATCTGTTTATATATTTTATGTTTTATGTGCATATATTATTATTCTAGCAACACTTGTTTTGTTTTGATAACACTTTTTTTTGCATAATTTATTTGATTTTCTCCTTGTTTCTTTGTATCAAAAAGCACAGCTTCAATTATCCTTGTGACTTGCAATTGTATTAATATCCAGTAGGCATGCAATTATCATTTTAAATAGTATAAAAAAAAATTAAAAGTAAAGATTACCCCGTTTTGATCCAGACTTCCTTACCACTACATGTAGCATCTAAGATACATACACTGACAAAATATTGTACCCGCATTCAAATTACAATCACCCTGTCTTGTCTGTCCATCTGCCAGTCTGTCCGTTCAACAAATACTTTCAATTTTCTCTTCAAAAGCATTAGTATGCTTAGCATGCATTCTTTATTCGATTTATTCCTCACACTCCGACATGTATATACCTGGATCCGTATGGAGCGTCAAACTATCAAACAGAGTCCAATTGGTTTGAATAACGACTACAGTGGCTCGTGCTGTCGTCAACAATAAGCAAAAACTCATACCGTATTATCAGATACTAGTTTATAAGGCATTGACTTTGAAAAACAGTTCAAACAAAAATGAACAACCGTACGGCCTTCATCAATGAGAAAAATCCATACCGTATAGTCGACTGTAAAAGGAGCCAACTTAAAAAATATGAAACAACTCAATTGAGAAAACTACCGGCCTGATTTAAAACAAAACAATTTACGAAAAAACAAATATAACAGATATGAACCAACGACGACAAGTGAACCATAGGCTCCTGACATGGGATAGCCAGCCGCGCATAAAGAATGTGGCCGGGTTAAACATTTTTGTGAATGTTCAACCCCCCCTCCCTCCCCCTAAGCCTGGGACAGTGGTGCAACAGCACGACATAATAACAACCTGGAAAAACCTTCCTTCAGAGAGCTTGGTTCACACAAATATATACATATTTAAAGTACTTATGAATATAAAATGTGTTTTCAGCCGTGTATCACCTTCACTGATGATCCTATGCATGGATATGTCGTAGAGTTTAACTTTTATATATAAATATATACCTCTAAGGCCAGACAAAAATTGAAACTCGAAATTTTTGCTTTACTCAATCAATATGTGATAGTTTTAGAATCCACTTCTAATTGGATTAGTAAGAGTTGTCTTAATCCAAAAAAATCCTCAATATCAAGCCTTACTAATTAAAAGTACATTTTAAACAGAAAATCATTGTAAAGACTGAAGTGGCATTATAGTTGTCTTAAAAATGTAAATTGGCATTCATATCCACTTTTAATCAGAGATACTTGGGAACAGGACATTTTTTTTCAAAAAATACCAGTCTTGGGACCAAATTTCCCTCGCCTAGCGGCTTGGGAAATTTTACCGTCCCTTGACTGGTATTTTTCGCAAATACCCCTCCATAACATGATATATCTGTTCAAAATATACACATCCCTTTGTCGTACGTTTTCCCTGGGGAAAAATCGGAGATTGTAAATAAGCAAGATTAACTGCAGAAGAAGAGAACGTTTGAAATGATGCTTAATAAAGTATGATGCAATCTGATTTATCAACTTTAACAGAGACAAATCTGACTAACAATTTAAATTCGATATTTCTTAAATTGCTAGAAAAATCTCTGTCTAATAATAAATACCCACGGAAATTAAATATTATAAACCATTAAAAGACGAAAGGAAAATGGGACACCAATCTGATAACGACAAATATTAAATAATAAAAGGTTCATTTGCAAAGTTTATCGAAAAGCTAAGTCATGGTCAAAACCACGAAAGACAACTCAAATCAATCGTTACTATGATAGGTAAAGATACGTGTATATACGTGGTCTTATGACAGTGAAGTTTTGGCGGGAATCTTAATTATCACGTGATATATAAAAATCATGATTTCTTTCGTTTTTCATCATCTTAGAAATAATTGATATTGATAAAATTTATCATGAATGGGTTTAATAGTTTAGGAATACTTAGTTGAAACTTGAGTGACGCATTTAACAAAATTAATATGTTAGCAATAACCGGCCCCGTTACGTGCGTACGTCGAGTTAGGTACGTATGTCATTTTATTGGAAATCTCTAATAAGTCTTGTATCTTTGGTGACTTTTAAAGTTATTTTTTTTATTTTATATGGCATTAAAACCTGTTTAGCAAGATCTCCTTGTAAAATAAATGATATGACGACCGTTCTTTAGTTTGATATAAAATATCGGGTGATTTCTTGGTCTTGATTTTTTCAGCAATCAAGACTGATTGTCTTAGATTAGTTTAACGATCATTCATTATCTTACTTTATACAAGTTACCAATACGAAGATGTGTCATATATATTACTGTGACCTGACTATAGGTGTTGCTGTTTACCTTTACCTATTTTTCAACCAGACTGTAAAATTGACAATACAATTTGGACATTTAAATTGACCAGTTGGTATTGTTAGAGTTGAGTCTACCTTTATGCTTAAAGACTGAGCAACACGAACCCCACCAAAAACTGGCGGTGATATCAGGTGCTCCGGCAGGGTAAGCAGATCCTGCTCCACATGTGGCACTCGTCGTGTTGCTAATGTTAGTACAAACCCGGTAATAAGTCTAATTCGGTAGATCACATTCGGGAAAAGGGGGAGGGGATTGTGGTTACGACATTAGGAACATATCCGCTATCATCTGTGAAACGGATATTCCATACCAAATCGTGATGGCTTCCGTAAAACTTACGAAGGGATGATTTCAAATTCACCACTTGGAACTCTTGGTTTAATAGCTTCCTTGTGAGCAGCAATCCTCTATCAAGGAAATCATGATAGGAAATACAAGCCCTGGAATATCGTATCAACTGGGAAATATATACTCCGTATGCAGGCGCTGCTGGAATCTTGCTACATAGAAATGGATAGTTCACAATTAGGAAGCTGAAATCATCTCTTATGTCGTAAAGTTTTGGTTTTTTTTACAACCGACCCTCATTGTCAATTTCTAGATGTATGTCAAGATATAAGGCAGACTTAACTGTATCTGTTGTATCCTTTATCTCAAGTTCGATGGGATCTTAACTGCAAGTTAATATGTATGTAAATTAAATCTGTTTTTTTACAAAATAAATGAATCTTTTAATTTTTAACCCTTAAACATAGTATTGTCCAGCTGTCAGTGAAACAACAAATAGCTATTCAGGTGTTTTCAGTTTCAGTTTTCAGATGGATATGTTATGTGTTTCTTCATATATCCCTTCAACATTATCATTTTGGAGTAGTATTCGCAGTGTTTGAAATCTGTTGGAATCAATGTGCATAAAATATTGGGATTTATTTTATTTTAATTCACTTCTTAGATGCCATTCAATTTTGCTTCTTAAAATGTGACTTGTTTTTTCCCAAGAATTGAGTGTATTGAATGTATCAAGGAGGAAATAATTCATTCAAAATGTTTTGTGTGGCTTTCACATGATGATGTACATGTAAAATTCGAAATAGTTTTGGAGTATACCTTGCAGTGGTTTTCTTTGAAATCTATTAATAATAGGATTTGTGTGCATAAAAATACTGTGTTCACTAAAGGGCATTAACTTTTTATAAGATGGAATTTAGTTAATCTAAAAGATAAAAAAAATATATAAACTGGAATGCAAGTAGGAGAAATAATTTCATCCAACATGTTTCCGTGGCTTTAAATGTGATTTTGAAAATAATCATTATGAAATTCTGGATCTAATACGAAGATGATTCACCTGTTATAACGGGATATATATCATGGAAATGGAAAAAAAAATGGAATACAGTGGATATAGTCAAATCTAGTGATAAAGTGAAAAATAAAAGTAAAATATTCCAAAATATTCACAACGTGAGGATAACAAGTTTGAATGTGATATCGGAAATAATCATTATAAAATTCTGGATCTTATATTGTTTAATTGGGACATATATCATGGGAAATGAAATAAAAACTGAATACTGTGGATAAAGTAAAAACAAGTGATATAGTGAAAAATATCAATAAAATATTCAAAAAAATTTGTAAAGTCAGGATAACTATTTTGAATGAGATATTGGAAATAATCAAAAATTTCAAAATTCTGGATCTGATAAAAAGACTCTGCATCTGTTAAATTGAGATATATATCATGGGTAATTTAACAGAATACTGTGAATATAGAAGAAAATCTAGTGATATTGTGAAAAATGTAATAAATATTCCAAAAAGTTATTAAAATTAGGAAAATATTTTAAAATTATTTCAAATAGTGAAACTGGAATACTGGATGGGATATCAAATATCAGTGTCAATAAATACATAAATAAAACAGTTTATTCATAACCATTATTTTTTATATTTCACTATGCATAAACACTTTGGACAAGGCTCATATCAATAAGTATTGAAAAAATGTCAAAATGAAGGAATGCACACATTTGTTCTGATGTTTATTAATCCTGGAAAATTATTGAAATTATAAAATAATTAAGAATTCCACAAGAGTAAAACAAAAAAATTTGAGTTATCTCCCATTAGAAAAAGCCAAAGATAAAAAGAGATATTTTCAACAATATAAAAGAAATTCAAGCACTCATAAATAGTATTTGGCTATGAAAACATTAAGAGGAAATGTAGGGCATTATACCACATACAATTAAATACCCTGCCAAAAAAAAAACATATATGCATTCTTGTTATGGCTTGCTCACTCCAAAAATTGAAACGACAGTAAAATAAAAATCTCTCTTTTTCCTGCTAAATGTTGTGTTTCTTTGGCAACTGTATGGCCATTTACTTCAAGTAGTACATTCATTTCTTTCAAAAAAAATACTGTAATTACAATGTTTATTTCCTTTACTTGTTTTAGGATTCTCTAATGAAAAACATTGGGAAATGATTTTTTTTTTAAATCAGTAGTTTTTAACAAATATCAGAACATGAAATAAGTTTGCATCTGGTGATCATACTCTAGCAATATTCATACCATATATACTAATTTAAACTGCATGCATGTTATGTTATTTAACAAAGATAAAAATTGAAGCCTTAATGCCACATGGATAACTTTTACAAAAGACATATCCCAGTTACACTGCAACAATTACAATAGAACAGGTGTAGTGATGGGACAGCATCCAGGTAGACTCTAAATGCACGAGTGATCATCTATTCATCAACTCTAACAATACCAACTGGTCAATTTAAATGTCCCAATTGTATTGTCAATTTTACAATCTGGTTGAACAATAGGTAAAGGTAAACAGCAACACCTAGTAAGATGATAGGATTAAGATTAATTCTTAAAATTTATCCAATTAAATAAAGAAGTGTGCATAATGAAATGTCTTTTGAACATATGAAATTGTATTGAAAGCAACAGGAGAAACTCCAGACAAACGGACTTCCGTTACTATGTGAAAGTCAGGCTACATAGAAAGTCAAAGATAGAACTCATGGCATTGAATTTACATCGATTTGAAATGAAAATTGCAGTATGTATTAGGACTTGTTAATTGACTGCTTGAACTCTAACTGCTGAAAGATTTTACATTTTGTAAACCAAAGTTTCAGAAATTTGTTTAGTGAGGATAAAGCAACAGACAGTTAGTTTGATGTGAAATACAATGTCAAAACAAGTACAGAAACCTTAATTTGTCGATGTTTAAAACAAAATAATATGCTGAGTACAAAAAGTGAAACATGAAAAGAAACAACAGATAATTTACTTAAAATTTTTTCCATCATAAGCCTTATTGAATTAAAGCATTTAAACTGAACAATACTTATGTGTTTCTGCAATATTTCTACTTACAAATATTACAATACTTTCCCAACCAACCATCTGCACAACCATTATCACATATACCAGTCACGGGATTACATGTTCTTCCGCGGTCACAATTACCACAGCTGTTGTTACAGTTCTGACCAAACATATTCGGAGGACATGCTGAAAGTGATAAATCCGTTATTTAAAAGAATGTATGAGCGCTTATCGAAAATTGACGAATTTCTTTTTACATCTATAGGCCTTTTCGGTCTGTTTTTGTTGTAAGGTAACTGACTCCTTAACGTTTATCCTACATATTCCTATAAGGAGGAAATATAGATAAAATGATTCAGAAACATAATAATGCACATTAAGTTGTAATCGAGGCAATTATGTATATTGTATGAACCCATATTTAAAACTTTATGAACTGCTACCTGAAACCGTTTTGAAATTATATCTCATAGTCCCAATTACTTCAGTACAGAGAAGCAATCAAACTTTTAAAAATAATATCTTGACTACATTTTAAGTTATATGGTTGCTGTCTGAAATATCTTCCACATCTGCCTGTCTCACTGACTTATATCCAACATCTCCGTTTATTCATATAGAACATAATTCACTTACGTTGACTGCAAGAATCCAAGCTCCATCCAGGCAAACAACTTCCACTAAAACACGTTCCGTTATCTGGAAAGCAGTCAGATCCAGCACAGTTACAAACAGACAAACAGTCGAACCCAAACAGGTTACCTGTACATGCTGAAATCAAATTACATTAAAGTTGTAAACTGGCAGAATTAATACAATAAAGTATCATTAATAATATAAATAGCACTTCATATGTTACTTATATGTTTGGATGGTAACAGTTGTTGTATCTCTAATCCATTATTCTAAGAACCTGAGGGTAAATGAAGTCGTGCAAATTTTGACCTTATTTTAGTACTTTTTTTTATATTTGTCGAGCCTACGACTTCCGTCGCAGAAAGCTCGACTTAGGGATAGTAATCCGGCGGCGGCGGCGGCGTTAACTAACTTCTTAACAGCTTTATATTTCAGAAGGTAGAAGACATGGATGCTGCATACTTTGTATATAGATGCCTTATGATATGAAGTTTCCGTCTGTCATATGTTCATTGTCCTTGACCTCATTTTCATGGTTCAGTGACTACTTGAAAAAAGTTAAGATTTTTTGTAATGTTAATTTCTCTCTTATTATGGGTAATAGGATAACTATATTTGGTATGTGCGTACCTTGCAAGGTCCTCATGCCTGTCGGGCAGTTTTCACTTGACCCTCGACCTCATTTCATGGATCAGTGAACAAGGTTAAGTTTACGTGGTCAAGTCCATATCTCAGATACTATAAGCAATAAGTCTACTATATTTGGTGTATGTAATGATTGTAAGGTGTACATGTCCAACTGGCAGGTGTCATCTGACCTTGACCTCATTTTCATGGTTCAGTGGTAAAAGTTAAGTTTTTGTGTTTTGGTCTATTTTTCTTATACTGTGTGCAATAGGTCAACTATATTTGGTGTATGGAAATATTTTACGATGTACATGTCATCAGTCTGGCAGGTTTTATTTGACCTTGACCTCATTTTCACACTTCATTGCTCAATGTTAAGTTTTTGTGTTTTGGTCTGTTTTTCTCATACTGTAAAATGAACGCTTCCGATCTATATATTTGAAATTCCGATATGAAATAATACTAAACAAATCACAAAGTGTAATGATTTTTACTCACTTTCATTACAATAAATCCCACTGTAGCCTCTGAGACATCCTCCGACTGGACATACTCCTGTCATCTTATCACAAGCAGAACCTCTACAGAAACAATTATTGCTGCATCCTAATCCGTAAGTGTCATCATCGCATACTACAAATTAAATTAAACTGTAGCATTTAGATATGTTAAACGAATTAGATGACTTACTTGTTGATTTTTTTTTATCCGTGGCAAAATATCAATGTCACTAACAAAATCTTTAAAATATCAAATATATGCGACACACAGCCTTTCCTCAATCAAAGTACAAAGTTACTCTTATTTGTGAAGTATCAAACAACAAATTAGTTTGGAAATGATTATATGTTATACCATATCTACTTATAACCAAAATTAATAGTACCTTGTTGACACGTATTTCCCTGCCAACCAGGTCGACAACCACCAATACAATATCCGTCGTCAGGGTTACAGGTAGAAGACAAACAGTTGGCTGGACATGACATTGCACAATTTGTACCATATAAACTAACTGGACAACCTGTATTGTATTTGAATAATCAAAATATAGCATAACCATGATAACATTTATATTTGAAATCAAAGTAACAATTAGATATATAATAATAAAACTCACTTATCTGGATAAGTCAGACAAAGGTTTACTTCTTTCATTTGAAACATGCATTGAGCAATTGTTTGTCAATAGGGTCTGCTTTAAAGTGAATTATATAAATAATCAAGAAACTTTTACATATGCTTAATAGCAGACCCTATAGACAAACAATTGCTCAATACATGTTTCAAACCTATATTAACAGTTTAAAACCTCCATCAAGTTAAGGGCATCATAAGATAAAGTCGCAGTATGATAAGGCTATCATCTTTCGAGGTTTATTAAATTCGTATCTTCCTTGTCTCTTTCTTCAACTTGGACATGAAATATGAATTCTTTTTATGGATTCGATAATATAAAACTTCTCGTATATATATATATATATATATATATATATATATATATATATACAGAAAAGTATCAATGTTTTGTAATATTTGTTTGATAACATTTAGCTCCCGGGAACTAAATAAAAACAGTAATTTTATGATTCTTGGTAGAATTTGCAAACTTACATGTATCTTTTAATGTATCAGACCTTAACCAAATCATTTTCATATATGTAATGAAAATATCAATAAAATAAAATGCATACATACCATAGGCTTCAAAATTACAAATTTCGGCGAACCCTATGTTGTTATCGTATCGAGCATATCTACCAATTACTGTACAATTATGCTGATCATTTGTCAATGGCTTTCCAGCAAATGTATCCTGATAACACACTATACCGTTAGCTAATGTCTCGTTTGAAAATGTAATAGTATAACCATTCATTCTATCGCTGCCTGAAACAATTTAAGTTATACAAGTTTTCATGAAGCATAGCCAATACAGTTGCATGTACTCTATCAAACCCATCGAGTGTAATGAAAGTAGTCGTATTGTAGGTTTGGGTATCATTTTGGACCATTTCAATTACAAATGGGGTAATGTGAAAATCATTTCTTTTAATCAAGTGGAGAGGAGGGAAAATGATGACGTTGTGAACAAGACATAGTACAATGAGGTATTGGAAATGGGAAAGGAAATATGTGGAAGTTGTGGTGTCACGGAATAGAAGTTCCTTCATAATATAAGTTCCAAATGGAAACAATATTCTGGAATATTATTTCCACTGGAATAAATATTACAGTAAATGTTCCTAACGGAATAAATGGTATAGAATATTTGTTCCAACAGGAACAGATATTATGACATTGTTTATAACAAAGTTTCCAGAGGAACTTCTGTTAGGCGGAACAAATATACGTTGACAGTGGTACCATAAAGTTCTGGAATTGGAGTGAAGGAATATGATATTTTTGTGAACTTTTTATATCCAATAATACGACGACAGATTTTGATCGTCCTTTTTTATGTTTTTCGTCGTATTATTGGATTTTAATGGTTCACACAATATAAAAAAAATACCCGTTTTTTTGCAGGCTTGTCTAGATTTTCTTTCAAACATCTTTCTTAAATCATATCTAACATTATTTCTAAGTAAAAGACTATCTAAATATATCTTGATGATATATAACTATCGGTGTCAATCACATGTTCATTCAAACACGATTATTTCAAATAATTGCAACTGTATCAAAATCTTTAATTTTTCTACACTATACACTAGTATTGCTCATGCTCAATTAAAACCCCAAGTACTAGTTTAGAATGGAAAACGTGCTTATACGTTTCTTGTATTAGGTCACGTAAAATCTTACTTTGCTTAGAACCATACCGACTCTTACAACAAATACAACGAAGATGATAAATCATAATTAAAATATCGGGCCTTTTATAGCTGACTATACGGCATGGGGTTTGATCATTGTTGAAGGCCAAACAAGTTCTCAACAGTTGCTTACATCCACGTCATTTAGACTTTGATGGATTCATAGTTTGTCTCACTGGCAATTATAACACATCTCTTTTTTGTATATTGATTTTTTTAACAACATATTTATCGCGTTTGGTTGAATGAAAATTTGATGTAGCAGTCAGTATTCCAATGTGCACCAATGGTGATTATATTTGATAAAAAAAATAATACACATATATTGCGATAAAAATTATAACTGCCCTAGCGTTGTCAGCACGAATTTTGACTGGTATTATGCGTTTAGTTAGTCGATGTACAACATACAGTACATTTTGAGTATGTCAATGAGACAACTATCCATAAAAACAATAAAACCGAAAGAGACGTGAGATTTTCGTGCGCACAACAAGAGCTTCTGCATGAACCGTCATCAGGTATGCTCGAGATCAAAAGTTTGAAATGCCAAATATATGAAACGTTGTAAAACATTAAAAGCAATAGAACCTTAACAGACCCGTAAATATAAAAATGAGGAGATGTGGTATGATTGTTAATTACACAACTACTAGTATCTTCCAGAGAACACTAAGACGGGGATATAAACAACTACTAGTATCTACCAGAGAACACAAAGACGAGAATGTAAACAACTACTAGTATCTACCAGAGAACACAGAGACGAGGATATAAACAACTACTAGTATCTAACAGAGAACACAGAGACGAGGATATAAACAACTACTAGTATCTAACAGAGAACACAAAGACGAGAATGTAAACAACTACTAGTATCTAACAGAGAACACAAAGACGAAGTTGTAAACAACTACTAGTATCTACCAGAGAACACAAAGACGAGGATGTAAACAACTACTAGTATCTACCAGAGAACACAAAGACGAGAATGTAAACAACTACTAGTATCTAACAGAGAACACAAAGACGAGGTTGTAAACAACTACTAGTATCTAACAGAGAACATAGAGACGAGGTTGTAAACAACTACTAGTATCTACCAGAGAACACAGAGACGAGGATGTAAACAACTACTAGTATCTACCAGAGAACACAGAGACGAGGATGAAAACAACTACTAGTATCTACAAGAGAACACAGAGACGAGGATGTAAACAACTACTAGTATCTACCAGAGAACACAGAGACGAGGATGTAAACAACTACTAGTATCTACCAGAGAACACAGAGACGAGAATGTAAACAACTACTAGTATCTACCAGAGAACACAGAGACGAGGATGTAAACAACTACTAGTATCTACCAGAGAACACAGAGACGAGAATGTAAACAACTACTAGTATCTACCAGAGAACACAGAATGTAAACAACTACTAGTATCTACCAGAGAACACAGAGACGAGAATGTAAACAACTACTAGTATCTACCAGAGAACACAGAGAAGAGAATGTAAACAACTACTAGTATCTACCAGAGAACACAAAGACGAGAATGTAAACAACTACTAGTATCTACCAGAGAACACAGAGACGAGAATGTAAACAACTACTAGTATCTACCAGAGAACGCAGAGACGAGGATGTAAACAACTACTAGTATCTACCAGAGAACGCAGAGACGAGGATGTAAACAACTACCAGTATCTAAAAGAGAACGCAGAGACGAGAATGTAAACAACTACTAGTATCTACAAGAGAACGCAGAGACGAGGATGTAAACAACTACTAGTATCTAAAAGAGAACGCAGAGACGAGGGTGTAAACAACTACTAGTATCTACCAGAGAACGCAGAGACGAGGATGTAAACAACTACTAGTATCTACCAGAGAACACAGAGACGAGAATGTAAACAACTACTAGTATCTACCAGAGAACACAGAGACGAGAATGTAAACAACTACTAGTATCTACCAGAGAACACAGAGACGGGGATATAAACAACTACTAGTATCTACATGAGAACACAGAGACGATGATGTAAACAACTACTAGTATCTAAAAGAGAACACAGAGACGAGGATGTAAAAAACTACTAATATCTACCAGAGAACGCAGAGACGAAGATATAAACAACTACTAGTATCTACCAGAGAACACAGAGACGGGGATATAAACAACTACTAGTATCTACCAGAGAACACAGAGACGAGGATATAAACAACTACTAGTATCTACCAGAGAACACAGAGACGAGAATGTAAACAACTACTAGTATCTACCAGAGAACACAGAGACGAGGATGTAAACAACTACTAGTATCTACCAGATAACACAGAGACGAAGATGTAAACAACTACTAGTATCTACCAGAGAATACAGAGACAAGAATGTAAACAACTACTAGTATCTACCAGAGAACACAGAGACGAGGATGTAAACAACTACTAGTATCTACCAGAGAACACAGAGACGAGGATGTAAACAACTACTAGTATCTAACAGAGAACACAGAGACGAGGATATAAACAACTACTAGTATCTACCAGAGAACACAGAGACGAGAATGTAAACAACTACTAGTATCTAAAAGAGAACACAGAGACGAGGATGTAAACAACTACTAGTATCTACAAGAGAACACAGAGACGAGGATGTAAACAACTACTAGTATCTACAAGAGAACACAGAGACGAAGATTATTGATGTACCTTCATCAGGAACGCTAATATTCCAAGACTTGAATACCTGAGGAGCGAAATGAGCAAAATCAAACTTAGTTCAACTTTGCCTGAAAGGAGTTGGAACCTTATGGTTTCTCAATAATTGCTTCATCTACCAACGGAGATTTAAAGACCGGTGCAGAATATCTTTCCAAAACAAACAAGTTTTAAATATGGATTAAACTTAGTATCAAATATCTGATGCTTATACAAAATATATATCATCTGCTTGTCAGATTCACCGGTCTTGCAATTTCATATCAGTTCCATATCCCCAAAAAATTGAAGTTAGTGTGAATTAAAAATTGAATTTTTATACTTACGATCATTTCTGTACGCTATTTTCACCCGTGTTACAATACTGAGCTGTCCGAGGTCCACTTGCCAATATACTGGTTTCGAGTTTGTAGTCTGACGGGTATGGGTACATGTCCCTGCAGGAACTTCGGGTGTCCCAAATACATCACTTGTGTTTTCATCTACAGCTTGATCGGCTGTAAAATATATCATCCCATCCGACCCTGTGTAATTGGAACTGAGAAGAGCTGGTTTCTTAAATGCTAAGTTAACTAAAAGAAATGAAAAAGCAAATCTAAAATGATTTATTACGGAAACAAACAAAAAAACGAGTGAAACCTGATTATTTTGAAACATTTATTGACACTGATGAAACAGGATACAGATGAAACAGTTATTGATACAGATGAAACAGTTATTGACACTGATGAAACATTAATTGACACTTATGAAAAATTAATTAACACTTATGAAACACTAGTTGATACTAATGAAACAGCTATATAAGATTCTGATGAAACAGTTATTGTTATACTGATGAAACCGTTATTGACACTTTTGAAACAGTTATTGAAACTGATGAAACAGTTATAAACACTTCTATTGGTGTTATTAAAACAGATATTGAGACTGACAAAACAGTTATTGAGTCTGATGAAACAGTTATTGACACTGATGAAAATTTTATCTGTTATGGTTTAAGGTAATTCGAGAAAGAAATTCGGGCTAAATGAACTTCTGACTCTTAACTTCAAACTAGAGATTTTTAATGCTTAGACTTAATTGCATATAAAATCTTGCATTTAAAATACATATCCTGTAAAGTGTTAGCTGTTGATCTATTCTTCCTGATCTACAAGCTGTGAAAAATTATCTTATTGTTAGAAAACTATGTTTACAAAAATACGATTTTTATAATAAGAAAACTGGTTGTTTTCATCCTCATCTTGGCCATCATACCACATATCCTTATTTTTATACAGAAAATGCTAATCTCGTCTTCCTGTTGCGTTAGAACACATATACCTATAATTAAAAACTGTATATCTAAATTATCTGAATATCTTTCTTCAAAAGCTAATTTTCAAATAAATCAAACGTTTTTTTATAACCTTACAATAAAAGAACGTAAAATAATTTTATATAATTATAGTTTATGCAAATGTATTGTACGTCTTAGTGAAAGTTTGCTCATTTTATCAAAAATCAACATGCTCACTATTTTAAACACAATCGTAGATGACCAAACTACCTTGATATGATACATGTATAAGGCCGTCTTTTGCCAATCTTCTGCGAGAAATTAAAAAAAAACATGTCTGGTTTTACAGCATTGTGTAAAGAGGGTCTTTGCACACTGTTTTAGGCTACGTGTTGTGATCTGTAGATGTTTATTTTTAAATTGTTTTCGTCCTTTTGGTCTTTGATTTGTATTTGTCCCATTGGCTCCATATCTTCTTATTTTCATATATAGTCCTCATTTGAAGACAAAGTTTTTTAAATCAGTTGTAGCATTTTTAACACTGAACGACGTTCGTTCAATGAAGCCGAATGTTTATCCTATGAACCGTATTGGGAAGTGACACACTCTCTGTACGTAAAACTGCGAACCATTGTAATAACTCTTTGATAGTCCTGACGGTGACTAATCATTAGCTATACGAGTATTTATGGTTCCAAATATGGGATAACAAATAAATTTTTACCGATGTTTTACGTTTTGATATTTTAAATAGCTATTCCAAACTTTTGATAGAAGGAGACGCTTACCCTGTCGACGCCTCCGGGCTCGCTCCTTTAGTAAGAGTTAATGCGATTCCTTCAGTTTGTTTTTGTTACCTTGAGTTGTATCTTCATAATCAATTTATGAAATTTTAGCCTATGAAAATCCACTGTAGTCTCTAAGTTAGCATCAAAAGACTAAATGTATCCCATTTTAATAATATATAAAGTTTTTATTTGTTTTACACATCTTCTAATTAAGCAGGGGATTTCTATGGGGTTTCAATCAACTACAATAATTAACAATATTTTATGGAATTGATGTAGTTATAAGGGTCGAAAGGCAGTAAATAAATTCCATTTTGGTTGTTTTTTAACTTAACCTTTTTGCCCAATTTTAGTTGGAATGTATTCATTTTTTAAGTTTCTTTTCACGAGAGTCATGTGCCAACAGATGTTGTGTAGCTCTTGTGGTTTTTTTTTTTTTACCTATTAGAGGACAGAGGAACCAAAAGTCGAACTGCTAACTTCTGATTTTCTTTGTAGCGTATTCAATTTCTATGTTTATTTATGTAATCCGTAACCGCTTCTAAAACGATGGAAGACACATGTCCAAATATACTTGCTGAATGTTCTTTGATGACCGAATCTTTTACTGATTTCGACTCCAAAGTCGAGACGAACAAACCTGCCTGGGAAGCAGGATAATAATGCTCACTCTATTGGTTTTAATAGAAGTTTTTATTGCCAAAAGATAAGGGTTTTATATCTTCACTGGTTCGCTGTTCGATGGATTTTGTTGCTTTTACTGTTTTCGTGTTGCTCATTATATGTAAAAATCTGATACTTGGCGCATTTGATGTTGTCAGATAAGCATAAAAGGGACGGGATTTTGGATACAATGAGACATGTTTTCAAATAAATCAAACGTTTTTTTATAACTTTACAATAAAACAACGTAAAATAATTTTATATCTATATAGTTTATGCAAATGAATTGTACGTCTTAGTGAAAGTTTGCTCATTTTATCAAAAATCAACATGCTCACTATTTCAAACACAATCGTAGATGACCAAACTACCTTGATATGATACATGTATAAGGCCGTCTTTTGCCAATCTTTTGCGAGAATAAAACAAAAACATGTCTGGTTTTACAGCATTGTGTAAAGAGGGTCTTTGCACACTGTTTTAGGCTACGTGTTGTGATCTGTAGATGTTTATTTTTAAATTTTTTTCGTCCTTTTGGTCTTTGATTTGTATTTGTCCCATTAGCTCCATATCTTCTTATTTTCATATATAGTCCTCATTTGAAGACAAAGTTTTTTAAATCAGTTGTAGCATTTTTAACACTGAACGACGTTCGTTCAATGAAGCCGAATGTTTATCCTATGAGCCGTATTGGGAAGTGACACACTCTCTGTACGTAAAACTGCGAACCATTGTAATAACTCTTTGATAGTCCTGACGGTGACTAATCATTAGCTATACGAGTATTTATGGTTCCAAATATGGGATAACAAATAAATTTTTACCGATGTTTTACGTTCTGATATTTTAAATAGCTATTCCAAACTTTTGATAGAAGGAGACGCTTACCCTGTCGACGCATCCGGGCTCGCTCCTTTAGTAAGAGTTAATGCGATTCCTTCAGTTTGTTTTTGTTACCTTGAGTTGTATCTTCATAATCAATTTATGAAATTTTAGCCTATGAAAATCCACTGTAGTCTCTAAGTTAGCATCAAAAGACTAAATGTATCCCATTTTAATAATATATAAAGTTTTTATTTGTTTTACACATCTTCTAATTAAGCAGGGGATTTCTATGGGGTTTCAATCAACTACAATAATTAACAATATTTTATGGAATTGGTGTAGTTATAAGGGTCGAAAGGCAGTAAATAAATTCCATTTTGGTTGTTTTTTAACTTAACCTTTTTGCCCAATTTTAGTTGGAATGTATTCATTTTGTAAGTTTCTTTTCACGAGAGTCATGTGCCAACAGATGTTGTGTAGCTCTTGTGGTTGTTTTTTTACCTATTAGGGGACAGAGGAACCAAAAGTCGAACACCTAACTTCTGATTTTCTTTGTAGCGTATTCAATCCGTAACCGCTTCTAGAACGATGGAAGACACGTCCAAATATACTTGCTGAATTTTTTTTGATGACCGAATCTTTTACTGATTTCGACTCCAAAGTCGAGACGAACAAACCTGCCTAGGAAGCAGGATAATAATGCTCACTCTATTGGTTTTAATAGAAGTTTTTATTGCCAAAAGATAAGGTTTTAAGTCTTCACTGGTTCGATTTTCGATGGATTTTGTTGTTTTTACTGTTTTCGTGTTGCCCATTATATGTAAAAATCTGATACTAGGCGCATTCGATGGTGTCAGCACTACTTGGCCGGAAATGTATGTATATTAAGTTCCTTTGAACTAATAAAGTAACACTCGTCAACATTTAGCATAGAAACTAAGTTAACGACAAAGACCATCAGAGCTTGTTTTAAAGTAGATATAGGTTTAATATATTTCAACTGTTATAAACATCAAAATTAAAACTGTGTAATATTCACTTGGGTCAGTAGGTAATTTCTTCTCATTTTAATCCATCTCCCATTAACAATAAATTGTCAAATCTTAACCTGGACACTATTGAGTTATTGTAATGGAAGTTTATCTTGCCTGAAGCACTTTTGTATTTTAAAAACCTTTGTATGAATTGAAATTTAGTATTTCCCTATTTTTTAACTTATATAAGTAGTTGTTTTTCACATAAGATCCTTCTCTCTTTCTCTCTTAAGATGATTTTTTGTTAAACCATAGAAAAACAACCGTTAAACAGCAAATAATTAATACAACATAGTCATAACAGAGACATGTTTACATATGTATAAATGTCTCTGGTCATAATTGCACATGCAACAGTCAGTCAAAAAACGCGTATTCATGTAACACATCAACAGTTTCTTCATAATAAATCATCTGTGGTTTATATGTTTTTAAGGTAATTAGTTAACAAATACCTGATAAAACTTCAAATAAATAAAATTTATATGGCTATCAAAATTACAAATCTACAGTTTGAAACGGTAAACAATGTGTATTACGTATCTACTTACCTGAACATGTACTTAATCTTAAACAGCATATACAAATAATAACAGAATACTTCACAGTCCTCCAATTATACATCTTTTTAATTTGTCCCCATATTCTTCATAAAACAAACATTTTCATTTTACAATTTCTTTTCTCCTTTTATCTACATACAGGATACACAAATATAATCCAATCTGACGTGTAAATCCTATTTTGAATCATCTGTAATTAGTAAAGGACATACTTAATGTTTATAAACCTGTAGTAATGGAGACGTGGAGTCACTGTACATTTGTACATGAATCTTTTACATACATTGGTGTGTATATATCAATCTTCAGAAACTGGTAATAAGAAAAAAATCATCGGGCACAAATAAGTTCATTTTTTAAATCTCTTATTCCTGTTGTACATATAAGTTATATATCAACTCTACTGGTTGAATGTTGAAGTTTTAATATAAAAATTATGTGGGTCTACAATCGTAAAAATCACAAGGATCAAATAGAATATCCAAACTTTCTTTATAATAACCGTTTTATAAATTCATTATTTTCTGTAGAAATGCATATCTATTGTTTACATCTATCGTCTATGTTCTGACCAGTGGTTTAAAGTTTGGAAAGCCATGATGTATACATTCATGGTGAGTTACATAATAACTAAAGATCAACTTTTTAAGCCTCTGTTTTGTAAAAAATGAAGAAACTTGTCAGCTTAAAAATGATCATTCAAGTTTCAAGATTCAAGTGCTTTATTAACCTCAGACACTTGTATGTATAAGAGGACATGGATGTAGCTAGCGCTTCAACAATAAAAACCAAAGTTAAATATAAAAATAAAAAGATGTGGCATGATTACAAATGAGACAACTCTCCCCCGAATGAAAAATGTATGTGTGGTTAAGTTTGTTACTATGTTAATGCCTACCAATTGAATTTATTGTTAAATTGTTCTCATCTGGAATATGACCGAGATATCTGAGCATCACCATGTTGATCGACATGGATGAAAGGCGGAATATTCAAACTGTCCCCAGGAAAAGATAATACTTTGGGCACGGGCAGACATTTAGCCTTACAACATGTCTAAAACGGACATATCAATGAGTTGGTTGCGATGGTTCTTTAACATGCAGAGAGCGTGGCATTCTCTCTACACGAGGCATCAGATTTGAGGTCCAATACATATCAGACGTAGCTGCGAATTTACACATCCCATACAGCAAAACAAACGACTATCTATTTAGAATGGCTTTTACTGCAGGATTGAGAAATCCAAGTGACCATATTTCTATTCTAAGTTTAACATTAGGGGTTCAAATTCTGGATGTACTATATTGACATCTGTAAATACTCAAAATAGTGCATTGTACTTCAATGGTCAAACAAGTATCGCACGGAATCAAGAAATGATCTGTCAAACAACAAATGAAAAACACAAAATGAATGTCCAGTTATATGTATTGCATTTTTTTAAATAAAATTAATCTTTGATAATGACATATTAATGATTGTCTTGATCGTTTTATATATTACAATAATCTATCATGAAACAGAAATATAAAACGGAAATCACTGACGAGATAACTATTATAATATCCGTAAAATCTTCTTGTCATCGAGTGTAAATTATATATTTAAGTGATATATATAAATAGTGGTAACAAAATCTTCATTTGAAAGGACTTCGTGGCTCACAAACACACATTTGTAAACATGGGCTATGAAACTACACGAAATACCCTGTCACCAAGCTACTTAACTTAAACTTCAAATGAAATTAGGCCGTTAGTTTTCACAATTAAATTTTTCATGTCGGGGCCTCTAATAGCCGAATATACGGTATGGATTTTTCATTGTTGAAGGCTGTACGGTTGCCTATAATTATAGATTATCGTTGGTTATCTCAACGAGATTGATTTTCTCGCTTGAGCCGGTACGGCGAAAGCGAGAAAAGCAATCGAGTTGAGATGACCAATGATAATCTGTTTATCGCTATTTTCCCTATGAAGACGTTGTTAATTTCCTTGACAACGGCACGTGTTCCCTTAGTTTCTAGCGATAATTTTCATATCACTCGACTCCGCTGAGAACGGAAATTATCAGTCAGCAAGATCAAAGGAAAAATTCGTAAAATAGCGATAATTGCTAATATTCTCTTCATTTGAACTTTGGTTGATAGTTGTCTCATTGGCAATCATATCACATCTCCGTATTTCTATATTGATGTCTGCACAATGAAAGTTAAACTTCATTCTCTTTTCGGACAACAAAATGGCACTGTTATACGCGTATATTGTTCAAAATATGTTAAGTTCCTGGATATTTTTTCAGCCTTTCCTCGATTGATCAAATGTTTTGCAATAAACTGATAAATATGGCTGAATGCAGACCAGGATCGATTTTAGTACTCTTCTCAATCTCCATTGTTAAATCAAGGACAAAATAGAGATTGTTTCTATATTTTCTTATAATTCATTTGAATAGTTCTTTTAATACTTAACTTCAATCATTCATTTAATTTACATAAAACAGAAGATACAAAAGGGAAAATCGAAACCCGAATTTGAAGAAAGACAAACAGAAACATAGACAAAGAGACTAACAGACTAGAAACATTTCACAAACACTATACAGAAAACTAAAGTTGAGCAACACACATCCCATCTAAAACCGTAAGTAAAATCAGGTACTCCGGAAGTTTAAGTAGTGCCTTCGCCAAACTCTTGATGATACTCGCTGTCGATCATGTAATAAACGGATAAAAAGAGGAGGAGATTATATTTCAACACATGGAACACATCTTTTAACCTTCCACTAAGATCAACCAGAATTATTCTGGCATCAGAAAAAACTTTAATTTAAAGGAATAAGTTCAGTTATACCATCAAGAATGCTCGGTTCAATAGATTCCTTTGAAGCCATTCTCTGTCATGGAAATCATGGTAGGATACGCAAAACGTAAAAAATGGTGTCAGCAATAAACAATCATCTTAATTGATGATGTCAGTTTCAGAGAACTTTGTGACATTATAATCAGACTGGTTACACAGATTTGATTGTCCATTTCTAAACCTACTTTTGCCAATATGTTTTATGAAAACAAAGTTGAACTAGTTTTTTCAATCTGTCTTTAAAAATGAGAAAAACAGTGTAAAAAAGGGGAAGTAAATGACTTTGAACTATTGAATAAGAAAAGGAATAGTTGTTTCGAAAAATATATATACCTCTCGTGGCGTTAGCTATTATTAGTCTAGTCAATTTAGTAAACAACCTAAAACTAATTGCAACACAAAGTTTTTCTCTGAAAAACAAGTCTGTTACTATCTATGAACAACATACTAAAAATATACAAAAATATATTTTGCGGAAAGTGGTGTAATTAATCAAACTTTTTGGTAGTAAAAGTTATGTTATATGAGTTGCTTCCCCTTATTTGCCAAAGTTGAAAAAAATAAAATTATACAAAAAATGTTCTGTATTTTTTTTAAACAGTTGAATAATACGATACAATACATAATTGTCTCAATTTCAAAAATAATATTACAAATGAATCACTTTCCTCTCTCAAAATTTGTATATTTGAATAAAGATATAGACCGAGATTGTGTACTGCTATTTTACAATCCAAGAATCTAATTCTCCTACACAGTGTTGGTATATAACCTACAATATTGGTATATAACCTACAATATTGGTAAACAGTATTGAATTAAGTTAACCATCTTTGTCACAACCTTACTCGGTATTTGAAAGAATTCTGCCACTGTGTTAAAGGCACTGACAGTTATTTTTATGTTGGGGGAAGGGTTATCGAAACACATGTTTTGTCCTTCGTAAAGAAAATGTTAATGCAAGACTTAATTTTTGAAATTCAAAGTCTTTAATGTATTTTTTCCCCACAACTTTATAAAGAAAACAATTGGTTTTTTTTTTCATTTCCCTTCTGGAACAAACATGTTTAGATTTAGAATCCAATAATGTATCTCATAAAAAAATAAGAATGATGAGTGTTCAATGATTTTAATGTTTAATATCTTTCGAAAAGGAAATTTCACGCTCCTCGAGGCAAATAGCTACTCATGTTATTAGCGACGATCTCAGTACTCACATACTAGTACCATATAAGTAAAGCTTTCGCTTTGCAAGCTTTTTTGGATGTAACACTGATTCTCACTTTTCACTTTGGTTGCTGATCGGATGTGTACTGATTTATATTAAAGTCGGTGCGAACAGTATTTATTCATCAACTGTAATTAGCTTTGAACTAGCTATGAGAACTCAGTGTCTTTTTGTTAATTGGTTTCATACTCCGCGCTGATCTTTTTGAGTCGAGCCCTTTCCAACTGAGTTTTACAATCTGTTCTTATGTTGTGTGCTATTTCAAAACTGTTCCTGATTATGGGAGGGTTGAGTGCTCGCAAACATGGTTAACCCTGTACACTATGAATATGATTATCACAAGTCAGTGGCCCCTTATTACTTGGTGGTTATTGTTTGCTGTCCGTCATATTTGTTTTTCCGTTTATTGTTTTAACCTTAATCAGGCCATTGGGTTTCTCGTTTGACTTGTTTTATATTTTGACGTTGAGCCAGAGTTGTTTACATCCACACCCACATCATTGTTACCTCTTGTGGAAAGTTTTCTCATTGGCAATCCTACAACATCTTCTAATTATGTTTTTAAAGTGGGGAGATTTTACAATAAATCATAGTTTCACTGGCAAGCGATCAAACATACTACCAAGAGATCACTGAAATTAAATTAATTCAATGAGATATCTAAGAAGTAACTTGGTAATGCTTTACTTTATATATGGCCAGAGATAGCGTATATATATAAATATATGCCTTCGGGTTCATATGATCCGTTCATCCTATTTTGACTCCTCAAAATTCAAGAGTCTATCCTAGATTGAGATAAATTGTATGGCTTTCCAAATACTGTTTCGATCCCTAACATCACTGAAGAGACATTAATTGTCGAAATCCGGATATGGTGTACAAAAACCTTTGCACCTTTTGTTTGCGGTATACCATCTTTTCCGCAAGTTCATTGTTTTCTGTTTAGTATTAAATTTATAATTAAGATCCATTTATTACATCGGTGATCCGTTTATTTGGCAATCGCCAATGGCAGTCAGCAGGATTTAAGAACATTTGTTGTTCGACCTGTTAGTCAAATGCGTTTTGTTAAAATATACTTTTTCACTCTTTTGGTCTTTTGGAAAA